AACAAAAAATAATTTAAAATATTACGCGTTTGGCCTACCCAAGAACACTGCAATGTTCTGGATAGCAGGTACCATTGTCGTTTTGCAGATGATGAAATTAAGGTACAGGTGATTTCCCCAATTCACAAACACAGCCACTACTAAGGTTCTAGGCTGAATCCTGAAGGAGAATTTTAGTCAATAAGTCTGAGTCATGATTTCCATTTGTGAAATTGTCCACTCACTGACCTGTTACCTAACAGATGCCACAGATAAACAAGAGTTTATATTTTCTCTTTGTTTAAATTCAATATCTTAATCACAGATTATCAGAGGGAGACAGGACATTAAATATTTAGGCCAGAGGGCTGCAGAGTTGGTGAACTGTTCAAACCACATAGATAATGGTAGCAAAACCCAAAAGAAAGCAGCCCCTTCCCTGACTGTCCAAGTGCTATCTGCTCCATTCTCCACTCTCTGTACGTTGGCATCCTATAATCTAATGACAGACACTTACAGTGATAATGAGGAGTCACCCTCTACACTTCCGAGGGCTCCTTTCATGTGCTCTCTTCTTCAGTCCCAGGATTTCTGGGAAGCTCCAGGTTAAATGCAAATCTGTATGTCCAGCCATTGAGCCTGTGCAGATCAGACGAACCTCAGGAATGTACATTTTAACAAACTGCCAACTGATTCCAGGGATGATAAATTCAGCAAGTTTAGGCTATGCTTTAGCAAACTTTGCTTGAGCTCATTATTTTTGAGAAAGAGAGAGGGGAAAACATTGGCTATCTACATTTAAAGAATAATTCACTTTTCGTAAGGCTGTCCCTAAGACCTGCCATAATAATTGGATAACAGAAAATCAACCCAAGGCAGTAGGAGATCATAAAACTGAGACTCTTCTAATGAGTTTGCTCTCCCTTCAGCTGGGGGCTCCTCTGCTCAACAAACCACGGGGGAAACCGTGCTTTGCAGAAATGCTGAAGGATCTTCACAGTGACCTTTCAATGCTTTGCTAACGACCTGACCTCCCAGACACCACCTTCTTGCCAGGAGGCTGTGTTCTCTGTGGCGGCCTTTATTATTGACTTGCTCGATGTGCTTGACCTACTGAGGCAAGGACACCAGGCAGACACACTTTGTGTTAGGAAAACAGGGCAAAGCTGTCATGTTGCAATAATTCTGAAATGTGCTAAAGGGCAGAGCCAGAAAATGTTCCTTATCTTATGCATCTTATCTGTCCTTTTCTTAAAATACACTAGGAAAACTTTCTGAAAATAACATGGTCTAACGTGGTTTTTGCAGCTCTTTTAAGGTTTTGGGAAATAGGAAGTTGCTTAACTGCATTCCTAAATTCCCACCATATGAGGACTGGCAGAGGGCCCCATGGGAATAACAGCCACACTGGCCATCTCCAAATGTTTGCAACCTAATGAGGGAGTGTAGGTGACAATGGGAAAACATATTATCTTACAAAAGGCAATGGTGCTGAGGGAGTCACTAAAGTGATTACAGCATACTCTACCTGGAAAAACTTTAAGAAAGTTCACTGTGAGAGAATGTTGAGCAGGTTGTTGAATGAAATAAGCAAATAATAAGAAAAGTATCCTAGGCTTTGGAAATAAATGCATGAGGGCTTAGAGGCTAGACCATATAAATCTGTGTTGTGTGGAGAGAGGGAAAACTTAGAGCTCTAAAAATGTGAAGATTACAGTGGGCATTGCAAAGAGACAGCAAATGAGAGGGTAGGAGGGAGCCTCCTTTGAATGATCACACACTCCAAATAGTTTAACTGTTGTAGATGCACAGGGGAAAGAGGCCAGGTGGTGCAGAATGTGTAGCATTCTGTGCTGAATGGTAACAGACTATACCACCCCCAAAGACGCTGCTTTGATAGGAGGATTATTTTGAACAGAAAGCAAGGGAGAAGATGCAGATACAGAAAACCCTCTCTGTCTTCTTGGATTTACTTAAAAGCAAAACATAAATTTAGGAAACTGTACTGCCTCCCTGAGGTACCAGAAAAGACAAAGGTTGATGACTGGAAATGACCTTTAGACCTTACTTCTCCTGAGACTGGTACAGAAGAATCTACAAAACAAATTTTATTACTAGCCATTATCTACCATTAATTTTCCATATAGTTTGACTTTTCCATAATTTTGCACCCCCGGAGCCTAAAGTACCTTTTCTTTTATCTTGTTGATTCTCCAAAAACTTTGTTAGTCTTTGTTAAAGATGTTATATAAACCAGAGTTCTTTGTCACCTCTTTGATGATTGTTCATTCCCAGATTATCTTCCTTGTATACATGAAGTGTATATGTTAATAAATTTTCATGGTTTTTTCCCTAATAATCTGTGTTTTGTTTCAGGCATCCTAGATAAGAACTTAGGAGGGAAGAGGGAAATACAATGATATACAATGCAAAAATACATAGACTTATAGTCTACACTTGAATAGGGTTTGTTAGGCTAAACAAAAATAAAAAATAACATGTTAGAGTAAGAAAGAGCCCTTTAATCTATGCTAGAAGATAAGTACAACCAGACTAAATCATTGTATTAAAGTATGGACATGAATTAAAGAACTTTTAAGAAAATTTGTAAGAACGGATACCTAAACACATATACATTTTGTTGTTCTACAGGTTACACACAAATATTAATCTAATTATTATAGAACCTGCCTGTTTTGGGAATAAAAAGTCATAATATCCTAGTTTACGCCTTGACTTTCTTTTCTAGCCAACAACAAGAATGACATTTTGCTGCACAGAAACAAAACAAAATAAAACAATAAAAATAAATTTGCCCACAAAGAAAAAGACTTGCCAATACTGCAGTGGTCCAAAATAATTAGGCTATTGTTTTGGCCTCTAGTTCCAGAGAATCTGAACAATACCTTTAAACTAAACTAAACAATAGTTTAAATTTCCAGAATGACTTCTAAGAGAAGGGAGAGATTACTTGGCTATAGAAAATCAAGGGAGTATTTAAAAATTCTCATTCAATTTAAGTCAAACCTCCTAATAAGCCAAACTTTCTATTTAGTCCCTTACTCTTAAAGGATAAAAACCATTTCATCCATTTAATATCTGTGGAATTAATACTATCCTTGAGGACATGCTAGGTAGAGTCTGTCTCCCTGTGAATCTTTGGAAATGAATCCAGAAAACCTACGACACTGTCAAGAATTTGCTCCATATACTGTGTTCCTCAAAAGCTTTTTGGAGATTTGACATCCTGGAAATTTTCCCAGATTTCCCTGTGAAATTTGTTCTATAGCATGGTGATCATCAAGTGTTTGAATGACCACTTTTTCTTACTTTTGGCACTGGAGCATTTGTGACATGCTTATGTTCACACTCAGGCTATACAGTGGTACTTGTGTTCTTTCATGATTCTGGTCACAAACTAAATTGTGCAAGAAACGAATCAAATTCAATGGTAGGTTCAATGTTGACCTTATGGGCGACTTTCATTCTGTTCTTGTCCTGTTCAGTTTGCATCCAGAATCATGAAGAGAATTGTGTTCATGGACAAAGATACCACTGTAACACCATCTGTGGTATAATCACCAAAGACAATGATTGAGAACTTTCACTACAGCTTCCTTCCCATGTGAAAGACGCAGAACCACGTCAAAGTAGCTGACAATAACTAGGTAGGAGGTTGCATATCAGCTAAGACTATCCCCATTTCTCTCTTCTACACTAACCCTTGAAAGCATTTCATATTTCTGTGCCCAATTAATTATCTATTAAGCGCAGAAGGACAAAGTGTCTGGAAGCACCGAAATTATAGTTGGACTGGCTGTCTTTGCTTGGAGATCAGAGTTTACAAACTGTAGACCCACAGAAATAAATCCTTTAGCCAATTACCATTTTGAAAATGTTAATAACTGCTATCATTTTTAAACAAAGGGATATTGCATAAAGGTTGTAATTTCTACTTTCTCTTCAAAAGTAGAAGCTCTAGTAACCCCACTTAGCACAGTAGCAGTAGATGAAACTGAGAGGTGACTATCGCCCATTTTCCAGAAGTACCATTGATCTTTCCGTCATTCTTGCCCCTACAGGCAGTTGAGTTTGCAAAAAATGTTTGAGATTTTTGGAACATGGATGACTGACAGATGGCCAAAATGTCATGTATAGGCTGTAACACCTAAAGAAATTAAGAAGCAGAAAGGGAATCGATGTAATAATCCTGTCATTCATATTTTTTGAGCACCATTAACCAATCTTAGTTTCAGGATCTGTAATTTTCACTAAACACTAATACCTAGTAGTTCCTCACTGAGATTTTGCAAACACTAAGGATAAAGAAGGGAAATTTGCATAGAAGATTAGCAGAAAATTTAGAAGTAAATTAGCCCCAAATTTCATTATACTGAAAGTAATCCAGACCCAGAGATGGGAAGACGTTGTCCAGGATTACAACAGCTTCTGGGTGGCAACGTCAAGGCTGAGGATCTCCACAGCAATGATCTCTCCCGTACTCTGAGGCTCCTCTCTTCTTGCCTGTACCAACTTTTCCTCTGGTATGTGTAAACTGGCGAGACTGAAAAAAGTGTCACACTCCTTAAGCTGCATACTGCCTATTGGTCACAACTGGTATCAGTGAAGGCACAGAGATGAGCGGAAATATCCAGACACTTAGTGTGGGGTCTCTTTACTGTGTCAAAAGGTTGGAGAGGCAGAATCAAAAAGTACTGAAAGGTCCCTTCCAGTTACCTACATAGTACAGGAACCACCTCACTTCCACTTAACTAATTCACAGGACATGGCCCTCACTACCCCATCAGACAATCTGTCCTCCACGGTATTATCTTGTTAGAGTTTCACCGGTTTTCTAGATGAAGGCGAATGGAATCTGTTTTGTGGTAGACATAACCCACAGAGGCCTCTTATACCTTCCCCAGGCATGTAAAAGGTGCTTGCACTTCTTCACACCACAGCACGTTAGGGTAGGCCTCATGCTGCCTCACCACCCTCACTGCCTTTTTATGTACTTTTTTAAAAATATGAAACACTCCCCGAATTTGCTTGTCATCATTGGCTGGGGATCTTGCTTGTCTTCTCTGCATCGTTTGCATTTGGCGTGTGTGCCGCCAAGGTGAGCACCAGACTAAGCATTCTGAGTTATTCAGAGGGTTTCTGTGTGTAGCCAGGCTTCTAGGCCTCTCATAATCCCCACCGCATGTCACTGGCTATTTCTTTGATTATCAAGATTTGACACGGTACGGGTCATGCCCTGAGAAACCAATAGCTTCAACTGCAGCTTTGCCAAGGCCAAGCAGCGATCCAGAGAACAGATTTTCTGTGTCTTACAAGCAGCAAGAATAAAATATTTTCCTCTTGGGAAGAAAGCTTTATTATTAGTTAAAACCATCAATGGTGACAAATGAGTTTCTGAGTTACTTTTTATGCCACAAACTCTTAGCAGTTTATTTTCCAAAGCCCTGGCTGATTTCATCTTCAGCTTGCCTCATATCAATGTTTCTCTGAAGTTAGTGACTTTACCAGAAGTGGTTCGTTTTTTCCATCTTTCCAAGCAGAAGCACAGTTGTTTCATTCCTATTTTATAAGCTATCCATCTTTCAGATATCTTCGGGAATGTCCTGTTCCTCAAAGAATTTTTCTGGCTTTCTCCGTTGCTTTAACATCAGTTCCAAAGTTACACAGAACTGAATATGAATCTGATAGTAAGTTAACTTAAACCCAATCAGTCTCAGCTGCCTAATTAAAAATAGATCTTTTATTAATAGTAGAGTTGATGTCAAAATGCTAAATGAGTACTTGCTATATACTAAGTGCTTGGTAAATATTTGTCACTGTTCTTAATTAAGGTACTGTACCTCTGATGGGCCGTGTACTTCTCACAGATGCTGGTGGTGCTCTGCACACAGCCATATATGTTGTAGAATTCTTCCCCCCACAACACACCTATGTACCGAGGCTGATACAGCTGATGCTTTTTCTTCTTTAGCTTTTCCTCCACAGTGTCTGAGACTTAGTTCAAACTACTCTCTATCTGCTTCTTGCTATGGCTTTTTTCTCCTCCTTATGCTGTGGTCCAACTCCCAAGCACTCATGATGGTAATATCAACAATTCTATATTTATTCTCTATTTTGTGTCCAGAGGATCTGTGATTTGGTCTCTAGACTAAATAACTGACTCTCAGCTAGTTTCCACAGAAGTTCAGCAAACCCATCCATTCTCCGTCTCATCCACACTCAGAGAATCAGAGTCAGGCTGGAAGGATCCCCAGGACATCATGTGGTCTCATCTCCTGCAGCTGTTTGATTGAATGTGTCAGTTAGGGTGCTGGGTCAACTTGATTGGCTTTGGGATTCACCCAAGAGATTGGCAGAACACACTTCCGGTGCATCCAAGTAGGTCATAGATGCATGGCTGTAGGATCAATATATGGTCCCTTGCTCCTTTTCACTGCTCCCCTCCTATTTCCTGGCCATCATGAACTAAATTCTGCCACACCTTTCCACTATGATATCTCTGCCTTGTAGCTAAGCAACTATGGATCCAGTCCCTTAAAACTAGGAGCCAAATTAAATCTCTCCTCCTTGAAGTTCTGGGTGTCAGGTACTGTGTCTTAGCAATGAGGAAACTGAGTAATATAGTGAATGATGCTTAGATTTTGGTTTGAATAAGAATCACTGAGGGTCCTCTTAAAAATAAACCCTATTCTAGATATTCTAGATAGTTTATGTAGATACTCTGCCTTCAAGAAGGTAAAGTGTAAATCCCAATTATTTAAGTGTGGCTGAGTGTCATAACTTCCCTCCAAAGAGCCTAGTATGGAAGGGATTGAGGAAGGAGGAACTTCGTAGTAGAGAAATCTGACAAAGAACCAACAAGTCAGATTAGCATCGTGAGTGCTGCCATGATACTCAGTACCTTTGATACAAAGTGATGAGAAGGATGTTATTGTTTGCCTGTGGGCTCTTTCTCCCAAATACAACCTCACTCTAGTCATTGGAAAAATGTCAGACAAATCTAAATTGAGGGATATTTTACAAAACGCCAGACCAGTATTCCTCAAAATGGTCAAGATCATTAAAAATAAGCCACGTCTAAGAAACTGGCAGTCATGAAGAACCTAAGGAAGCAGGAGGAAGTACAGCGTGGCATCCTGAATGGGATCCTACAACAAAAATGTACAGCAGGTAAGAACTAATGAAATCTGAATAAAGTATGGATGTCAGTTAATATTTATGTGTCGATATCAGTTCGTTAGTTGTGACATACAAACAGCACTGATGTGAGACATTAATAATATGGAAAAGTGGAGGCAGGGTGTATAGGAACATTCCATTCTATCTTCTCAACGTTTCTTTAAACTAAAATCTATTTTATAGTAAAACATGTGTTTTTAAAAAGTGACTTGAGGGAATGCGGTCTAAGAGATGTGTCAAGGAGGTCAGCTTTGTGCAGCATTAAACACACTTTTCACTTGGTTGCGATGCAGACAACCAGAGGCCTTGCTTTTCCGATCCCTGTCTTAATGGAAGGCTCTCACCCTTGGCTGCACATTGGAAATGTGTCCCAGTCCATTTGCACTGTTTTAGTCTGTCTAGGAGTGCAGCCTGGGTACTGGGATGACTAACGGCCCTTTTGGTGATCTCAGTGGCAGCCACATTTAAAGCTTCCTTGCTATTCTTGTGCCCCCTAATGTGATAGTTATGACCAATACATAGCCATTCAAACTGAAATTTGATGAAGACTAAATAAAATAGAAATTCAATTCCTACATCCATTTCACTGGCCAGTGGTCACATGTGGTTTGTGGTACTGCACTGGACAGTGCTGGTACTGCACATTTCCATCATTGCAGACGAGCACCACCTATTTACTTAGCTCTGGACCGAGCCCCAAAGAAGACTAAAATTGTCTGAGTTCACAAGGGATTTTCAGTAAATCATCACTACATAATGGCACCAAGATAGTGCATGAAGTGTGTGGAACAACACTTATGGAGATGGCTCTCGAATGTGTGCTTCCAGTTGGAATTTATTTTATAGTTTCCTGAATCACAACCAAGTAACCAGACGCTGCTGTTTTTCTAATTGCTCCATAACTCCTCAGATACTGGGCTGTCATCCCCTAGAGATATCTGGCCACTTGAATGGAGATTTCTTTGTACACACAGATATTCATTCAGCCCTGTTTTCTCTCACTGAAGAGACTTGGATTGGCTACACAAGAATAAATCTCTAACTCAGACAATGAAACCATTAATCACTTGCTCAGAAATTTATTTTCAGTTACAAGTCCTCCCTGGCTAGTGTCACAGATTATTTTAAAAAAAAAAACGTAAGAAAAACTAAGCCATGAATTCCCTTTATATCCTCATAGTCTGATTATTGTCATGGCTATGGATATAGACTACTATATACATGGATATAGACTACTATCAAATAAGAAATGATGCACATGTTATTAGGCTATCAAAATTCTTCTCTTTTAGTATTTTAAAAAGGAATACAGTCATTTCATTGACTTACTGAAGACTACACAGGCACTGCCTGAGATGTAACTGGAGAGAATCTTTCCTTTACTCAACGAAGAAAATAAAGGCTTTGTGCTTCACATGATCTCTGTGAAGAAAACTATTGTATTAATCCCAAATACCCACCTTTATGTTGTACTATGAAGTCTTCACATTTGAACATCAGACTGTTGGATTTTCCTGTAAGCAGAAATTAGACAGTTAAGAAAATCCTGAGCAATACAGAAAAATTCTGTCATGTTAGTTTAAGCTGCTTCAACTTTCCTAATGACTAATAGTTCAACTCCTCAAAGATAAATGTGCGCTTATATAACTATACGCCACAAATGAAACAGATCAGACATCACAACATGAGTGAACAGCTGATCCCAGCTGTAAAGTAAAGCCACTCATTTGAGGATTTTTTCTAACATCAGCAGTTCAGAAATACCCACAGTGTCCATCAAAACTATGTTTATTATGAATTGATTTCAAATCTTGGCATAGATGAGGGTATTAGAGAAATGCGAAACCACAGAAGCTACCCACTGACACGAGAAAGTGATGTCTTTGAGAGATGATGAGATCACTTGATCTCTACTCCTGTCCAAGGATTTGAGGGCAAAGGAGAACTAGGAAGCTTCTCCTGTACATTCTGTCTCTTCTCTCAAAGGATTTCTATGACAAGGTTCTGATGAAACCCTGCTCATACTGCTGAATTGCTAAGTGATAAATTAATAGACATAACCCGTGTACCAACAAGTTAAAGCAGTCACAGTAATGCTGGTTAACAAGTTTCTCTCCATGAAATATGGACTGGTCAGCCTTGTCTCTAACCCTAGACTTGATTTATAATCTCAGTGTAACTACCATGAAGTCATCAATCCCTCTGTGTATTTGCAGGCAGTGAAAGTAACACTTTTCTTGTTTGTAAGCCACCTTTCGTAGAAAAGGGTGTCAGAGTCCCTGCAGGTCAGAGGCAGCCCCCTTTCTGTTCTCAGGCGCTCAGGAAATAGCCTGGAAAGCCAGCTGGTCAGCAGGTTGACATCCTGTGCAGGATGTGCAGCGTGCTGCATCCACCCCCACACCAGCCCAGCATCTTTGGCATCTCTGCAGTTGTTCTGAAGGCTTGGGGTGTTTATCTCCCACAAGCAGCTGAGCTGCCTCTGGTTTCATGAGCAGAGCAGTGGAATGCAGTGGATGAGACCCAGGCCTTCGGCCACCCAGATTAGAGTTTTGTGCTGAGGTCCCTATATGGTTGTGTTAGATGAACACTGGGCTCCAGTCTGTCTTTGCTCCTTGTTTGGGAAGCGAGTGGGAGGGGAGCTGGCCAAGGGGCTATATAACCCTACCGAATTCCCACTTCCCTGACACCACTCAGCCAGTGTGGAGACGCCCAGCCAAGCATCATCCGGGTAAGTCGTTCCCACAAGGGGTTGTAACTTAGAGCTCCCACCGGCTCTTTTATTACCTGCTGTAATCCGACATCTGCATGGATGTGGATGAGTTTGGGCACTCTGATACTTTTGAATGAAGATCATACTACTAAAATGATAGTAGCTTTTGACTCTAAAGAGCTAACATTAAAAACAAGGCACATAAGCAGTCTGATGTGGTGCTGGGTGAAGAGATGGAATGAGGTTTTATTCAAGCAAGTGACCTGAGAAGTCTGTTTATGCTAAATCAACAGCTCAGATTTTGCAGCACAGAACAGAATTGAAGTCTAGTTTTTTATAGTAAGTTATACATTCATCTATATTTAGGCACTGGCAACTCCGACTTATTTGCAGTTCAGATTTAGTGTGTTGAATTTTGTTTGTTTGTTTTTTGTAATGGACTCTCTTTTGGCACAGCTGATGTGATTGCAATTAGAATGTAAAAGTGAACGGAATACAATGGTCTTTGTTTTTGGCTGGATTTGGATACTACTTCGGGTTGTGCTGGCTCTAATCAATAGTGTTTTGTATTGGAAATGAGAATCTCTATACCTGCAAGCTTACTTACTAGCATCCTTCCGTTTTGTCATTTGCATCAGAACACAGCAGGCAGCCAAGCAGCAGCACTTGCATCTAAAGCTCCAGGTGTCAGCAGAGGGGAGGTCTGGTTTGCATTTCTCTCAGGCTCAAATCCCTCTCAGTCTGTTGGGGTGAATGTGACCATAGAGCTAGCCCTGCCGGCCCACACTGAAGTTCACGGTAAATCAGAGCTTAGCAACTTCAGCCAGGACTGGAGTTTTCACACTAAGATTTTCCTTCCGTTTTGCGATTCCTGACTAAATATGGTTTGCGATTCAAAACCAACAAGCTGGGAACTGCAACATTCTTACTCCCTTCCCTCCCACTAACTACTCATTTTTGGCACCGGATGCATTTTACTGGGATGGAACAAACCCCCTGACCCAGTGCAGTTCCAAAAGCAGACACTTGGAGCAGGCGTGTTTTACCTAATTAGGAAATGCTTTGCTCCAAACCAGCTGCCCACTCAGGTTAGATAAGGGCTGACACACTGGGCCTGCACTCTTTCTGGGGACACAGGAACTTCTCTAAGGACAGTGCTCCTTTTAGAAATGAAATTCTTCCTGGATCTCTCTCTTCTGCCAAATATAAATATATTTACTGCATTTCAAAGTTTTGGTTTTTTTGTTTTGTTTTGTTTTGTTTTAACTGCTGCCTTGCTCATGCTGTGGGTCACCTATTTTTTCTGAATATGTTCGAACACTTGTCCCAAACCATCCTGGTCCCACAAAGAGAAACCTCAGGATATTCTTCCACAGTTTCAGAGAGCTCCCTAATTCCCAACACTTTCTCTTGGCCCTTTCTTTTTGTTTGGAGAGCATGCTTAGCCCATCTACAACCTGTCTACTGATCCTTTGGTGCCAGCTGCCTCTGACAAACAAATACCTGATTATCTTGTAATGTATGTTACCTTCTAGGAAGGAGAACAACTATAATTTAGTTACCTAGAAAGGACAGAGTGGGAAAGGAATGGGCAAGGCATTGATAAATCCCATTTTCCACTTTGGCAAGTAACTCTAATCCCGGGGCAATATGGAAGGAATGCTGAGATTAGAAACAAAATGCCTTGATACTGATAGTAATTAGATAAAGGGATCAATAGTGACAATGAAACTAATGCAGTGAGAACTTACAGGGCATATGCCACTATGAATTATTTTAATTTTTAAAAATCTAGTCTTTCATAGGAACTTTAGGAGGTATGTACAGATATTATTTCTGGTTCATAGTTAAGGAAACTGTGATTTAGAAATGTTAAATAACTCCACAAAGAGCCTGGACACAAATCCCAGCACAGCGACCCCAAAATCCCAGCTCACTGAGTCCCTGGGCTCTGCGATCGCCTTGTCCTTCATGCAGGAGTCTGAGCACCTCTGGAGGAGGCTCGTCCACCCTCTGAGCCTGAGTTTTCTGTTTTATCAGCTGGGGATGATACTACCTGTCCTGCTCTTAGAACACGTCATCTCAGTTGACATTTGCATTCTCTGCAAAGGGCTCTGCTACACAAAGCTGTGCTCTGCAAGTTCTGGGGATGCGGCATAAAGCAGTCTTGATTTTGTGGGGATGGTATGGCAGAACTCCAACTGTAAGAGCTATTTTCTTTTTCTACTTCTCGGAATTCTTTAAAGAATTGCCTCTCATACCTAGGTCACAATTCAAATAGTTCACCAATTTAAAAGAAGAATTTGATCTGGGGACATTACTCAATAGTAGAACACTTGACTAGCTCAGCTGAGATCCTGGGTTCAATCCCAGCACTGCAAAAATTGAAATGAATAAATAAATAAATCTCACTCATTTTGAAATCCTGAGATCTCAGTGCCCCCGGTGCCAGACTGAGAATTCTGAGCATTCTTCTCTTTACACAATATATTTAATTCTTTTTAGAAAAATGGGGGGAATTCTGTGTTGGAAGCTAAGGAGTAATCTCTGCTTGGAGTTCTGCCTCTATACCCTGTGTGCCTTTGAATTTGGCCTAGGGTTTCTCATTTGTAAAAAGATGACAAGATGGGGTAAAAATGCCATCTGGGAGGCCTTTCCCAAATTTGCAAGTTGATAATTCCTTTTCAGCCTTTCAAATTTTGTTAAAAAATCCAAGGTTGGGCCGGGGATTTAGCTCAGCGGTTCAGTGGCCTGTCTTGCAAGCGCAAGGACCCGAGTTCAATCCCCGGTACCAAAAAAAAAAAAAAAAAAAAAAAAAAAAAAAAAAAAAAAAACACTAAATAAAAAAAAAAAAATCCAAGCTTACAAATGTGTTTTTAAAAATATTATTTTATATCCAATGGAATACATTCTCAATTTAGAAAATATGACAGGATTCATGGAAGATAATGAAAAGCACCTACCAAACCCACTAATTTAAAATAACCTCAGTTAATATCTGGTACATATGAGTAATTTTTTGGCATAAAAATATGTTTTAATGAGATTATACAAAGTCACTAATTTACTATTCTTACTTTAAAATATGCTGTTAGCTTATGTTTTTACTCATCCTTCTTAAAGGTAGAAAATATCCTACAATGTGATATACAGTTCAACAGATTTATCCTTGTTTGTTGATTTTTTTAGTTTAACAGTGACTTTTATGAATGAGGAATAATCACTATCTCTAATATTTCAAACACCTTAGAAAGTTCTTATTTATTTTCATATTTCTCTAAGGGTAAAAGTTCTCAGCATCTGAAAGAGATCTTTCTTAAACACTTGCATTAAATACGGAAACATCTTAATGTTTCCAAATTTTCATGTGCTGCCCATTTCTCAAAACGTACCTTTCTGAAAAAAATTTTTTTAAAGTTACAGCTAGAAAAAAGTAAGTTATGTTGATACAGACAGAAAATTCTAGATTCTTCTTTAACTTATAAAAAGAAATTTGTCTCGGTGACAATCTAGTCTGATGGTCTGGAATTCCCATCTGGGCTTTCACTGTTGTTCACACAATCACCATTCAGCCCATTTTTAAAAATCGGCGAGCACATGCAATGAGCAGGGATTGTGCTGATTTCCAATCTTACACACGTGGCAGTCAGAATTGCAGCTTATCCAAAGCTTACTGGCTAAGGAAAATACTTCAGGATAAAGGCTGATCAGGGGAAAGCCTTCTGCTAGAACAGAGCGGGGGCTTCAGTCCCAGTCTGGGGATGGGAGGGCTCAGATAAGTGCTTGGCAACTGATCCACTACAGCAGGGTGGCTTCCTCCCTCCATGTTCTCTGCAGAACCCTGTAAAGCAGCTCCAGCCATGTGTGAAGAAGAGGACAGCACTGCCCTTGTGTGTGACAATGGTTCTGGTCTCTGTAAGGCCGGCTTTGCTGGGGACGATGCTCCCAGGGCTGTGTTCCCATCCATTGTGGGACGTCCCAGGCATCAGGTGAGAAAACTTCTGATTAGAACACTGGGAGGTCGGGCTAGAGTCTCCAGGTCTATGTGCATCCATGGAATTTTGGTTGCTCTCTACCTGAAAGTTATGTAAGTTTGTTAACAATATATCCTTGAAGGGATGGGGGTATAATACAGTGAAAGAATGCTTGCCTAGCACATGCAAAGCTCTAGGTCCTGTCTCTAGCACTGAAAAATATACATTATATATGTGAGATATGTATGTCATAGATTCTGTGATGATCTATGTCCAGGAATAAATGCCAATTTTATATACAGATTATTTGGTAGTTGTCTATCAGATATAATGCCTGACCATTTTTCATTTATCTTTTTAATCTAAATATTGTCGTTGTCCTCATAAGCACCACCAGAAATGCTTTTAAACTATTCTGAACTATACCTCTGCTACTCTTTGGAAAGAAACTAAAATAAAAATCCAGATTATTCAATAGCATGGAGTTCATAGTTAGATGTAGGCAACACTGATACTGAATGTAATTTTATATTATGTTAGCAGTAACCAAAATACATCTGGACAGCTACAAATAATTTTACATATTATGTATAAAGAAAATATTAGTGGCAACCACATAGTAAAAATTGTATGTTTTCCTCTTTCTTGGGCCCCTCTGATTGATCTTTATAGCTTTCAGCTTAGCATATATTCACAAAAATAATTCAGAGAAGTCTTTAATAAATAAATGAAATCTGTCTTTTTTGTTAAACTCTGTGCAATGGAGACATTTCGCACAAGTCAAATAATTTATGGATCCAAAATAGTTTATCTGTTTCACAATTCTGAAACAGTTTCTCCAGTTAAAATCTAGTAATAAGAATTTTTTCAAATTCTACCTTAAACATTAAAAAATGTAGATAACTTGCTGGGGATTTAGCTCAGTGGTTCTGCTGCCTGCCTCACAAGCATAAGGACCTGAGTTCAATCCCTGATACCAAAAATTTTTTTTTTTTTGGTTTTTTGAGTCTCACTATGTAGTTGAGACTGCCCTGGAACTCACTGTGTAGCCCAGGCTGGTCTCAAACTCACAGCGATCCTTCTGCCTCAGCCTCCGAGGGCTGGGATTACAGCCGTGTGCCACCATGCCGGCAGCAAATATCTTAATTGTTGATTGGTAAGGGTTTATCCATTAGGAATCAAATATCAAGTGGTTATTGATTGATAGATGTGATACATTTGTTTATAATGATTAGAAAACAATATTTTTATATTTGGGGGTAGAAGACATCTTTAGAAGCACAGTTTATGTTTGTTTGTTTGGTTTTTTTGGTACTGGGGATTGAACTCAGGTCCCTGCATTTGAAAGGCAGGCCACCAAACCACTGAGCTAAATCCCCAGCCCTAGAAGCACAGTTTAAATAATTTATAAGAAACAAAATGTTATTGAACTAATACCTAACATTTCATACATTCTATTAACAAATGATATTGACTGTCAGATGTGAGCCAGGCAATTGCTATAGCGGCCAACGAGACGGACAAGACCTTGTCCCTAACAAAGAACAAGGAAGACACTAGCACCACAGTATAAAGTTGCCTCTTCCACAGCACCCTCTATTGGGTGGAGGCTGATTCAAGTCTGTTTCCAACCAACTGAGAAGATACTGTTTAAGATTCTAGTGACAATAACGCTTCTATTTTTGTTGGTATCAAAAGAGGGTGTTTTTATTCTTGCGATTTAACTCTTTATGATTCGAATGCAATCAATTCACAAAGTTTAGAAGAGGCTGACTTGTTGTATGTTGAATCTTTCAGGGGGTGATGGTGGGAATGGGACAAAAAGACAGCTACGTGGGTGATGAGGCACAGAGCAAAAGGGGGATCCTGACCTTGAAGTACCCGATAGAACACGGCATCATCACCAACTGGGACGACATGGAAAAGGTACGGTGATGTTTGCTCAGGCTGGGCTCTCAGGAAATGCAAGGGTTCTCGCCCCTGATTCAAATGACATGTGACTCACAGGGAAAGAAATTGGCTCACACTGCCCATTGCACTTTAATCTGGACAAAGAAGATGTAGTTTTTATATAGAATGGAGTATACTCAGCCATAAAGAATGAGAAACTAGAGACATTTATAGCTAAGTGGATGCACGTTGAGGCCATATGCATAAGTGAAATTAATACTGAATGGTTTCTCTGTTTTGAAAAACTAAAAATGTAAATATGGATCAAAATGTGTAATTGATATTGTGTAAGAGAAGAAAAGGTCTAAAAGAGAAGGGGAAGTGGGAGGGTTAGGGGAAAGGTAAGAAGGCAAAAGAAAAAATATGAGAAAAGGAAAATCATGGAAACAGTATCTTTGTAAACAGGGAAGGTGGGGGAGTGAAGGGAGGGCTGGGGAATGTATTATATACCTAAAATGTACCAATAAACTAAAAAAAATCCCTTACCTTCCAGAGTATATAAATCCATTAGAGGTGAACAGACCTACAGATTGGAGGAGCAGCCCTTTGCTAGTGGTAGGAATTAATGGTCTGATGCTCATGAACTCCCTGGACAGCCCTGCCTCACACCTGCTCAGAGAAGGACTTCATTGCCTCTCATCAGGGCTGCATGGCAGAGTCACCAGTGCAGTTTGGCTAAAGGGGAGTTGAGATACCGTGAAGAGGCTTAGCCAGCTCACTCTTGAAAACTTTTCATGTACAGTACTCCAAAGAGTTTAAACAAAAGTTTTTCAGTTTTTACTGTTGAAAAGGGAAAGATGACATCGATTTGGTAGATTACCAAGTGCCCCTAGACATATTAAAGCGTAGTAATGACTGATAGAGTTTTAAAATAAATATTTGCAAAGCTATCTTTGCATTAAGTAAAAGCCTTATGTCCCAAGCCCTTACAAAAGAGCGAAGGAAAAGAAGAGTTTAATCCTAGGGTTTTGGTGTTTGCTATTAGGCATTTTAGAAACACCAGTGATTGGACAAAAAGCTGAAGGAAAGATAAAAGCACAACATAAAAATTTCAGAGTGCAACAAAATGCACTAGAATTGTATCTGGCCTTTTATCAATTAACACATTACACACACGCGCGCACACACACACACACACATCATTTTTTAAAAAAAAAAACACGTTATGGCTAGGCATGGTGGTACATTCCTGTAATCCCCACTCAAGAGGCTGAGGCAGGAGGACAGATGCAAGTTCAAGGCTAGCCTGGGCTACATCATGAGTTCAAGGCCAGCCTGAACTACAAAGGGAGACCCCCGTCCCCAAAACAAAACATGAAATGTTGCTTGAATTTATCAATAGTAATTCACTGAGCTTTCCTTCTTCACTAAAACTGCCCATCAGATGCAGTCAGGCCAAGATTCTCGGTTTGGTGACACTGAGATTTTTACTAAAGAGAAGATATTAATAATAGCCATGAGGGAAATGTTCTTTAGGAGTTTCTCAGTGGAGCAGATAGAATCTCATCATGAATCCTCCCGGAGAGAGATATTATTGAAATGAAAAGAATTCTCCTTACTAACTTGTAAAATCCACAGTAATTCTAGTGAAAGAGAAGGAAGGAGGTTGAGTATAGTCGGGGGAAGAGAAAGGAAAGGAAGAATTGTTGGTTTCTTAAATGATGTTTCAGGGTGACAATGTATATAACAGGACTGGCTGGGTTTCTTGAGCATTGCACTGTTTCCTAAGTTTAGATTTTTTTAAAGTGTGTTTGTCTAATTGAACATCTAGTTGGTGGGACAAGGAAGTGTGTAGGAGCAGCTGCATACTCATCCTTCCTGAGTGTGCCAAGGAATAATGAACTTGGTTTCACGGTTCCCAAACCACCACAGTTGTGTCCAACCCTTTCTGCACTCTACTCTGTCCAAGGAGCAGAGTCTTCAGTGTCTTCGTTGTGGAAACGCAAAAATTCAAGTCAAGGAAACTGGAAGAAGACAGAGACTTTAGGTCTCGGTGTTATTAATCTGTGAACTTTCACCAGCAGTTCTTATGTTGCTTTGTTTAAATTCTGAATGGATGTAATAGTCCTGGGGCTCGTGGTGAGGTTTTGTTCTTTTAAAGACTAATTTATTTAGCCCCTTTTACAATGTTTTTTTTGGTACCGGTGACTGAACTCTGGTCCTTGAGCTTGCAAGGCAGGCCACCGAACCGCTGAGTTAAATCCCCGGCCCCTCCCTTTTACAATGTTATGGGATCCTCTTTTGCCATCCAAGGATTAAAGACAGTTCTCAACATAAGTTAATGTACTTTCATACAAAGTACATTCACACAAACACTTTGTATACAAAGCAGCAGGAGATTCTTTTGGAAACACTTGGAAGCCATGTCTGTCCTCAAGTGAAAATTCCAGACTGCCAACAGAGGGCGCTTCTCCTGTCTCTGAAGGGCAGAGAGGCAGATAGACAGAAGTCAGAGACAGGAGACTTTTCTACACACATCACACAAGGGCAATTTCTCTAGAAGAACTGAAAGTGGCAATTAGGTATTCAGCTTGTCCTCATTTGTTCATTCATGTACATATGTATAGGCCTGTTTATTGACCAAACTCGATGATTTCCCCATGAATTATTAACTCACCTAGAATCAGAAGGTATAACTGAATGATAGTAACATTTCTGCTTGGACCAGGCACTGGGCTGATCAGTAACTCTAGGACTCTTACTTAATTCACAGAGACATGAAAAGTACATACGAACTGTTTTGATCCCCATTATTGCCAATGATGATAGATTAAAGAGTTACAAACTGCTGCTAAGTTCACATAACAAGGAAGTAGCTGAAGTTTGAATCCCAGCGTGATAGTGAGGCTGTGCCCTTGACCACTCTCATCCTGTGTCACAGGTCTGGGCTTGGGTTCTCCCTCTGTCCCATTTGAGATGTGAATCTTTGTGTGAGAGACTGTCAGTCTTCAAGCTTCAGTCTCTGCAGCTGTACAAATGGGCGTGAAACAAAGACTTGTGAAAGTGTATTTGGCCCTGCTTTCATTCAGCTCGTTTTGGCCCTTGTGCAGGGTCTGCAGGGCCCACAGTATCACACTGTTTTGTTTCTTCTCTTTCCACTGCTCCCTAGATCTGGCACCACTCCTTCTACAATGAGCTCCGTGTGGCCCCCGAGGAGCACCCAACCCTGCTCACTGAAGCACCCCTCAACCCCAAGGCCAACCGGGAGAAAATGACCCAAGTAAGTGTTCAACCTTTCATATAGCTTGCTTGGATTTGGAAAAAGTCTGGCTTGAGTGGAGCTGTGCAGGAGAGTAGTGAGAAGGCCCCAACCACCAGTCAACCCAAATTCTAGCCAATTTCTAAAAGCACAGGAATTCCAAAACACAGTGGCATCTTCACGTTACCTCCCTACTGTGAAGCAGACACTTTCGCTTCTAAAAACTATAGGAAGGTTAAAAGATTTAATTGAGAAGAGAGCATATTTAGGTTATAAACTGCTAAGATGTCATTTAAAATGCAGTGGGAAATTAATTCTAGAGTAACATGTCTAGGTTTGAAAACTGCATGTCACTTACCAGCTTTCTAAAAGAGCCCACTTGATTTATCAGAGCCTTCGTCTTCTTGTCTATAAATTGAGAATAATAGTACTGTTATTTTTCAAAGATGAGGTAAGTGCTAATGATGCTAAATGATAAATGTATATCATGGTTCCTGAGTTAATAAATATGCAACAAATAATATTTTTATTGTCATTATTTTTACCTGTATGAAGCTCATGACCTTACAGAAGAAAACCATCCAGCCACAGAAATTTCTAGTATAGATGAGTTATTAAATCATTAACATCTAATATCAATTTCATACTAGTCATGGTCCAGCACTGAGCTTATTTTACATGCACTGTTTCTTTAAATCCTAACAATGTGAAACAGGAAATGTTACTACCCTGATAGTTTAAATGAAATAAAGTCTTAGACCTGTTAAGTGACTTTTCCTGAGGTCACCCAGCCAAAAGTGGCAGAGCCTGAACTGACCCATGATCTTTTGGCTCTGGGGAAGCATTTATGTAAATTCTTCAGGGACTCATCCTTGGCAGGACTCTTGGTGGTCACACACAGGGCTCCTCCCTGTAGGAGAACCTAGGTAGGTCTGGGAATCACGCCACCCAGCGAGAGGTGTTATTTCTAACCAGTTATTGCTTCTGTGAACAGTGTGAAGGCAGAGAAATCATTGAGAATTATGGCTAACAAATGTCAGACAGGGAGGATTTCACAGACAGAGAACTGAAGGTCTGCAGACTTCTTTCAGTGCAGAGCCTGGAGAGGCTCTGGGGCTGCTCCTGTCCCTGCACTACATGAACTGAGATGCTGGGATTTGTAGGTGGTCCTCTGTTACCAGAATCCCATTTCTGTCTGCCAGGAATCAGAATCTTCCCACTGCAGCCAGAGTGGTGCAACTGCAGGCCCAGCTCAAAGGAGACCCAACAACCACATAGAAAAGTAGAACACATTAAATGGAGCCTCGAACAGACCACAAAACTGGGACCAATCCCAACCAATCGATGCAACAGGCTTAAAGGGTCCCTTTCTTTATGGCAGCAAAATCAAAAGTTGAATGTTGTCTTCTTTTTCTTCTGCCTTTGACTGTCTATGCTGGACAAGCCTGAGAGTTCCTCTAATCCAAATCCTTCCTTTGTTTACAGCCAAGAGCCTTGGAATGGTGCCCACATCAATCATATATTAGCTTGACAAATCCTCCTAGGTCTCATTTCAAGTCAGGGGCAGGATCAGAGCAAGAGCTAGACTCCTCTTTTCCCCTTATGTATAGACTGCCTCCTCTTCTCCCCATCCCTTCAGGTCACCAATGTGTTGGTTTTCCCTTCTGCCTTCTTTTTCCTCTTTGAGTGAGTAGGGCTCCCTTACCTTGGTCTCCTCTGGCCAGAGCCAGGCTGGCCCATCCGTATCATCAGTGAGGTGTGCTCCATTGATCCTGTATAAGACAGGCAGCATCACTGATTTAGCTCTTTGGATGCATTGCAGATTATGTTTGAGACCTTCAATGTCCCAGCCATGTATGTGGCTATTCAGGCGGTGCTGTCCCTTTATGCCTCTGGACGCACAACTGGTAAGTGGCTAGGAGGAAGAGGAGCCTCAATCAGGCAGGTATGTCACAAATAAAGGGACTTGATGGTTATAAGCGTGTGGGTTGTGGTGAGGAGTGGTTACAGCCCTAAATGATGTTCTCACCTTTTCAAGACAGGCTTTGGGCCTCATATTGCTAGCAGGACTTTTCTTATGGCTTTCCTCTTCCTTTTCTATCTTCTCTAATCCCCTTTTTACCATCCTTCTGCTATCAAACACCCTCTTTCTTCCTCTCAAACAGACATCTTAGAAAGTCTCCTTCCACCAAGACTTTCCTCGACCACTCTAGCTAATGACCACATACCACCACTTGCTGTGCTAACTCTCATTGTGCCCAACTGTCCCTCAGGCATCGTGCTGGACTCTGGTGATGGTGTCACCCACAATGTGCCCATCTATGAGGGCTATGCCCTGCCCCATGCCATCATGCGCCTGGACCTGGCTGGCCGAGATCTCACTGACTACCTCATGAAGATCCTGACCGAGCGAGGCTATTCCTTCGTGACCACTGGTGAGGCCTGTGGAGACGAAGCAAAGCCCACACTAACTTACAAGACCACCGGGTAACCAAGAAGCTGATGGGGTGTAGACATAAAGCTTGACTTTATGCATGATGCAAAAACTGGCTTTCATGATCTGTGAAATTGCAAAATGGAGTCAGGTGTGGTGGTGCAAGCCTGTAATCCCAGCATTGTGGGAGGCCGAGGCAGGAGAATCACAAGTTCCAGTACAACCTGGATAAATTTAGACAGCTTAGTGACCTAGAGAGGCCATGTTTCATGAAAAGGGGATGTAGATGAATGTGAAGACACTGGCAATCCCTAATACCAAAAAAATAATAAAAAAGAACTGTTAAAATGATTATATTGTTTATTTGAGGAGGGTAGTTTCAGTCCTTTAATATAGTGAACTAGTCGGTTAAGTTATTTGAGCATTTTTAATCACCTCCACTAGCAGATAGAAAAGAGCATGCTGAGACTGAAGATAGAATGTTGTGGTGACCGGAAATCTTTGGAGCCATCTAAATTAGGATGTGCATTCCAACTTCGAGTAGCTGTATGACATTGGACAAATTAACTTACTTTTTTATCTGAAAATGGGAGTAATCATAGATTTCATCTTTCATAATCACTGTGAAAATTAAATAAGATAAAGCACAGACTAAACATTTAATTCTTGTTAGCTATTGATACAGACCCAGCCGGCAGGCTTTCATCAAAGCTGGTGCCACTCCCTCTCTGTCCACCAGAGGGCACCATGAAGCTTCGCTAGGAACATCCGGTCATGCTCAGTGCCCTATCTCCCGCTACCTGCACAATCCAGTGTGTTATTGTCCGATGCTCTTGGATTCTGGAGGAACATTCTAAGCCTCAAGTTTGTGTGCTGACTGACAGTGTTAAAGTTTCCTTTTGCATTACTTAACGGAAATAATTCCATTCCTGCTCCTCACCCCCCAAAATGACTTTGGAAGTTTCCAAGGGACTCAAGTGTAACCAATAGCTTGAAACTTGAGAGTTCAGGAGTCTAGAGGGCATCTGCCTGCCCATTTCGTCCACATGTCCTTCCATGTACTCTTCCGCAGCCCTTGGGTGTGAGGAGGTCCTGAGCCAGTGCCTACCTCTCTCTGGAAAGTGAGGACTACGCCAAGGGTTTGGGGTTTGGGGTGCGATCTTCCCGGGCCAGGTGGCAAGGATCTATGGGGCTTTTGAAAACTGTGCTGCCCATGATTCAGCATAAGACTTAAGGGGGCGGGCAGCGGTGTAGTAGGTGAGCCGCCATTTCTACGTCTGCTTGACAGCCGAACGTGAGATCGTGCGGGACATCAAGGAGAAGCTGTGCTACGTAGCGCTCGACTTTGAAAACGAGATGGCCACTGCTGCATCCTCCTCCTCCCTTGAGAAGAGCTATGAGCTGCCTGATGGGCAAGTGATCACCATTGGGAATGAGCGCTTCCGCTGCCCGGAAACCCTCTTCCAGCCCTCCTTCATTGGTAGGCCGCTGCACCCCTTTCCTGTGAAGTGCGTGGGGGGGTCCCCCTACCCTCCCATCCGTAGGAGGAGACACGTCAGGGGCCCAAGATAAAACATTTCTAAACTAGCAGAAGGGAAAAGAGGTTACATTTTCAAGATGAGGAGACTTACAGAGGCCAGGAAAGAAGTTTCCTTCCTCGGAAAACACTGTGTTGTAGTCATACCAAAAGCATTCTGAGTGATGACAAAATTAAAGATCTGCATAAGACACGCTGGAGACACTGAGATGGTGCTGAGTGCCAAGATTTGGGACTGCTGTGGAAATAGAAAAAGGAAGAGCTCTGAGTGTGGCCTGACCCCAGGGGCACGGAACTTGGGAAACAGGTTGGCACAGTCGTTTGCAGAGGCAGACTTTGGGATTGGGTGGGCCTACATTTGAGATGTCATGGGTCTTCCATGATCTTTAGTCCCTTAATCTCCTGAAGTCTCAGTCTGTAGTATGTAGAAAGAAGGATGTAATAGTGCCTGCTTAGGGGGATGGTAGTGAGGATCCCTGAGTTGTATGTAGAGCTCTCAGCCTGGAAAAACAAACATTCGGTCATTGGAGATTGTTAGTAATTAATCAGCACTGCAAAAGATGAGAGCCATCTAGAGGTATTTTCCAAAAGATCCGCATTAGACACTAACAAAAAGTTCAGATGAAAAAAAAAAGTGACCAAGATTGAAAAAATACAAGTCTTTGTTCAAATAAAATAAAACTTACTTTCTGATGACTCCGCACCACCCAGCTTTTGGGAGGGAAAGTGCAGAGGTTAAAAGGGGGGCAAAGCAGCAGCCACAGGGAAATAAGAGCGTTCTCAGCAATGGCCGTGGCATCGGCTCATTGTGGGACGTTCTGCAGGGAACTGAAGGCTTTGCCCCTCTCTGACCATGCATAGTAGATTTTGTTACAGCAGCAGCACTAGCAATGTTGTAGCTCAGTGCTCCCATTGTCTGGTCTTCCATGTTGATCCTGGGTTGAACCTGCCTCTCAGGACCATGGCCCTGTTTCTCCTCCTCAGGGATGGAATCTGCTGGCATCCATGAGACCACCTACAACAGCATCATGAAGTGCGACATTGACATCAGGAAGGACTTGTATGCTAACAATGTCCTCTCAGGGGGCACGACCATGTACCCGGGCATTGCCGATCGGATGCAGAAAGAGATCACGGCCCTTGCGCCCAGCACCATGAAGATCAAGGTACTGCACAGGCTCAGACCCCACGGCTGTACTGCCAGTGGCGTCAGCCCTGTAATTAGATGTGGAATACTTCTGAGGCCATATCTTGGTCAGGTGCATTCATGGATCCTAGGCTAGCCAGGGTGGAAAAAATGTATGCATCTCCTATGCTATATAACTCAATCCAATTCATAAAACAAACTGCATTATTTTATACAAAGTTTGATCTGTTCTTATGACTTTTGCCTCTCAGCTACTTTCAGCAGCTCCACTCAAAGCCAACACCACCCACCTTGTACTCGTATGACTTTAGAATATACATTTTGTTGTTTTTCTTTATCACAAAAATACCTTATCTCACCTGCAGAACATTTTTTAAAAAAAATACAAGGGAGCCAGACATTTCTGCAGTGGTTTCAACCTTGTAGATTTAGTAGCTTGAATTCTTTCATTGCTAAATTGTGATCATATCTCGGGGCCAGGAATTAGAGTTCCTTTTTCATCTCTCTGTCTGGCATACTTTTTAATACAGGTGAGTAAAAGCACAGAATGACTCTGATACAGCCCAGGCTCAGTCGGTGCTGGAGTCACTGTTGGGGTAGGCTATGTCCTGTGAACTCTGAGTTCCAAGCAAGGGGACTCAGATAAATGGAGATTGTGCCTTTGAAAAGAAGCATCCCCAAGGCAGGTGACTTCTCAAAGACCCTTATGACTTTCTGAAATCCAAACGCCACCTGAGATCCTCTGACCCATGTCACAGGAAGCAAGAGAAAGGGCAAATTTAGTGCAGTTCACAGAGGAGAGGCAGTCAGACAAGTTCTCTGCTATTTGTGCTCCCTTTCCTTTTATGCAAAGAACGCTCAGGTCACAGGAGGTAGTGTCTCTCTTTCCACCACAGCTCTGGAAATTCCTGCCCTCAAAGACTCTGGGATGAAGGGAGAGAGCTTATTTTCCAAAGGGCTTGGCTCTCCAGGATGTTCTCTGAACCCCTCATATACCTTTGCACATTGGAGGGAAGGGTAAAGCCAGAGTCGGGGCCAGTGCCTTGCCAGCCTGACTGAGGAGGGTATGGGACAGAGACTGCAGCTAAAGCGGGCAATTGCTAGTTCTCGAAACTTGACCTCTTGAATGTGAAATTTTAGGCCCCAGGATGGTAAGGAGATTAGAGAACCACTAAAACCCTGTTGCTGTAAGATGGCACATGAGGAAAATGAAACTGAGAGGTCTGTGGAAAATCCCTGCACCATCTGTGTGACTTTTCTGGAAATCTAAAATTATCTGCCTCCCCTAACATGCTTATTTCTAACACAAAACAAAAATACCTTGGAGAGGCCAGGGTTGAAACACAACCAGCTGTGACCAGTGACTTACACTTCTCTGGGCTTCGCTTTTCTCAGATGTAACACTATAATACGAGAGCAATTTACTGCTCACACTTCAAGGTGGTTATGAGAATTAAGTGAGATAATACATGCAAAACTCTTAGCAGAGTTCCTGACACATGTTAAGAGCTCAGCAAATGCCAGCCACTTGTATTTAAAAATAAATACTCAGCCAGAGCTTGGGAGTAAACAAAAAGTTAACCCTTTAACAACACTTTCAGAAACAACTTCTCTATTAGCCAGATGTCCATTTCTGTCCAAGTTTGGAGTGAGGCTTGAAATTTCTCCCCTGCAGCTGTTTTTTTTTTTTTCCTCTGGCAGATGGATCAGACTTCTGGCCAGATGCATGGCTCTCTGAGCCCAAGTCACTTACTTAAGAAACATGCAGGTACCCTAGCACCTGAGGGCAAGGCCAGGCAAAGGGAAATCCTCCCAGGGCAATGTCCCTCCCAGCCAGGGACCCAGGGTCCCTCATTGGCAGACTGAGTGGAATTTCCGAGTGACTGCTGACTTTAACCTGGCAGAAGGATGCCTTTGTACTAAGTTCTGGCACAATTAAAACATCTTTGAAGATGTTGGTGCTTGTTTGTACAGAAAGCATGTGTCATGCCAAGCTCTGGGGAACAACTCAGAGCCAGAGGACTTGTCAAGGCTCTTGTGTGGAGGCCACCACAGGACCAGGGGCTCACTTTACTCAGTGGTGGAGTAGAGGGGGCAAGGATGGAGTGGAGTGGAGCAGATTGCATGAAAGAAACCTAAAAGCAAGTGACCATCAGGAGTCTCTGAACCCAGGGCCTCGTCCCTCCCCCACATCATGGTTAGCCAAGAAGGTCCTCAAAGTACAGCCAGGTCCACCAAGCACAGGCCACGGTAAAGCGTCCAGGCACTGCCCAAAGACACTAATGCCCTTTCTTTCTCCTCCTGACTTACAGATCATCGCCCCTCCAGAGCGCAAATATTCTGTCTGGATCGGTGGCTCCATCCTGGCCTCTCTGTCCACCTTCCAGCAGATGTGGATCAGCAAGCAGGAGTACGATGAGGCTGGACCCTCCATTGTCCACCGCAAATGTTTCTAAGACACCCCATGCTCTGCGTGTGGCTAGCACACAACTGTGAATGTTTTGTGGAATAATGCCTTCGATTTCTTTCCAAATAATTCCTAATCAAAGCTCTGATTCGTTACCTATGTTTTTTTTAAAAAAATAAATCTGAAATATTCTACCCCTAATTTCTAGCATTGGCCTCTGATCAACAAACACCCTGCGGATCACATCCGTTAGGCTGACCCTGCCTTGTCAGGTTGGCGCCCTCTAGTGGAGAGTGAAGACCTGACACTGTGAAGGTGGAGGGTGGATATGTTCCCAGGCAAGGCATGGAATCACTTAAACGTGGAAAGTTCCACTTAAAAGTTGCAAATGGGAAGAATTTGGCAATACCCAGGGGATTTTAAAAGATAGATAGGGCTGGAGGTGTAGTTCCGTGGCAGAGCACTTGCAGGGTTTATTTTGAAAAACAGAAAATTAACACTGACTTTGCAACTTACTGAGTGATTTTTTTTTTATTTCACACATTATCAGTACTGACAGCATGATTGGTGGAAACAAAATAAGAATTTTATACATATAGAAAGTTTTATAAACAGTTATGTATTTATTAAAATCATACCTTTTATATTAAACACTTATATACGCATGTGACTTTAATATATTTACTATGTATTAAAAGAATGTGTTTAAAGAAGCTCTTACTTTTAAGTTTATTGATTTTTGAAACATAAATTTATTTTTTAAATACTGAGGAACACTGTTTCTAAATCTCACTGCATACCTGGGCCACAGGTTTCCCTTCTTTTGATCAATTCTCATTTCTAAGAGGATACAGTGGACAGATTCACACCACAGGAATGGCAAAGATAACAACACCAGTACTAAAGGTTTTGCACAGATCAGCTCTTATTTGTTCCTCAGGACTGTGTGAGGAAAGTGTTATTATCAGCCCATCTTATAGACAAACAGGTCAAAAAGTTGGGCCAGAAATGTGATTCTATGGGAGAGCTACCAACTTCAACTGTTCTTTTGTCCATCTGACCAGGGAGGTACAAAGAAAGAAAGATTTCCTCCCCTGCCCTTATGGGTCTTAGCCTCTGGGCACTTCCATCCCAGCTGGTTAGCTTCCTCAGCAATTCCCTTTCGAGCAGCTGCTTGTCTTTTACCAATGTCCAAGGGAGTCAAACAGTTGTCCGACCAAGCTAGGAGTGCTCTGCTCGTGGTGGAACCCTCACTGCAGAGAACCTGGGGCCAGGATTTACTGTCTGTTCGGTCCAGAACACCCAAGATCCTGAACATCCAGAACCCCCAGTCTTTTCTGGTCCATTAGAATGAATAATAGAATCCCTAGAATTTTCAGCTCATTAGGACCTCTACTGTGCTAATAAGCACTGGTAGGCACTGGGTGTCTATTATGACCAACCTCTTTGGGGTAGGATCTCTTATCCTACCACCATCCTCAAAATTCAGTGTTGCATCTTTTACAAATGAGGAACTTGGACCTTTCCCCCCATTTCACATTATTATACATTTTTATCCTCATTTACAGGGGAAGAAATAAATATGAAATAAATATGAGAAAAGGAAAAAATGGGAACTGAGTCTTTGTAAGTAGGGAGAGGTGGAGGGGTTGAAGGGAGGGCAGGGGAATAGGGAAGAATAAGAACTAAGATCTGTCAGGTAAAGGTGCAATTCCCAGTGATGAAATCCTACCGTCTACCTAAAATATATCAATAAACTTAATGAACAACCACAAAAAATAAATCCACCAAAAAAAACCACAAATGAGTGACCTGGGCTTTGAGGGGTTAGAGATAATACCCGCTCGCACAGTGGATTTGGCAGAGATGATAGCAGTTTATTTCTACCTGAGCTTCATTCTAAGCTCATACTTTCCAATGTTAGGCAGCCTCACAGATCATCCTCATCAGAATTCATGGAAAATGTGCACATTCCTGGCCACATCCGTGCCTGCTGAACTAGAACCTTTGAAGATGAAACCAGGAAGTGAATTTTAATCAAATTTTCCTGTGGATTCTTATGCACATCCAAATGTGAGAATCATCTCAACATGGACAAAGGAAATTTTCCCGTGGCAAATTCACACTTACAGAGAAAGGCATTCCTCATCCTCTAGATTTAAACTTAAGGGTTAATGTACAGCTATTTGTGACCATATAATGATTTAGGGACACCTTTTCATAATTTAAGTCACTAACCACTGCTCTCATCTCTACAGGGGTTAATTGACATAGAACAGGCTTGTTGTGCTGTGTATTCTGTAGTTATCACCAGAGTGCACCTCCTCTGGGAAAGAAATGGGTGCTTGGAATAGTCTCCCAAAGCACTGGAAATATTCATGCCTAGTGGGAAAAATCGCTGTACTCTCGAATGTTCGGCCACAAGAACTGTCAGATATTGATGTTTTTACTACTCAAGCCACTTGGCCTATAGCAGTGCAGTACAATAGTCTGAACTAAGACACACCTTTTTATAACTTTTAAAATTAAAATGTCTTTTTTGGGTATCAACATGGTGACTAAGAGCCATTAACTAGCGCTTTTATTACCAGACACCCCAAAGCAAATAAACACATGTTTCAGTGAAAGGTCAAGGTAGTAGAAAAGTTAACACCTTTCCTACAGTAATAGAGAAGAGTTCTTTAGACAGTGGATGTCTTCGCAATAATTTTTCTAAGAAGAGATAAGAGCTAAAAGTTTACCTTTATTCTTTATTCATTGCCAAATACATGGCATTTCTCAAGCATCTTCTACACAAAAGACATCGTCTTGCCAGATCAGTCTGCAAGACATGCTGCAAGAGACACATCTGCTTTCCACATCTGAGACCACTTTGCTGGTTTTGCAACAGAAAACTCAACTAAAGTCAAACTGTTGTAATAATGCTGTCCTTGGCACCATTATTGTGGGTGCAGCATGGAATGAAGTGGAGGAAAAGATGAACTAATTCTATCTCGGATGTGGTCTCAAATTAAAGGACTATTTTCCAAAGGCGAAACCCTACTAAAAAGAAAGCAGGAACGATTTCAGTAGCTGAAAATAATCCACAAACATTCTGCTTTGCCCTTCCACAACTGGCTGGGTCTGCGGAGAAGAAAACGATCTCTGCCCCTGCCCCATATAATAACAAAGACATCCATTTCCCATTGTTTTGAGAGAAAAGAAAAACAAATGCTCTCGGTAAATGTTTATTAAATACTGCATTTATTTGCTAAGGGTGCTATAACAAAATACCATGGAGTGACTGGCTTAAACATGAGAAATACTTTTTCTCATAGTTCCAGAATCTAGGTATCCAAGACCAACTTGTGGACAGGGATGGTTTCTTCTGAGGCCTCTCTCCTTAGCTTGAGGATGGTCATTTTATTCCTGTAACTTTACTCAACTTCCCTCTCTGTGTGTGGGGTTCTACTCTCTCACACCAGGAAACCCATCATACTGAATCATGGTATTTCCAGTGGCCTTTAATGTCATTACCTCTTTAAAGACGCCACCTGCAGATACAGTCACATTCTAAGGCATGATGGGTTAAGACCTCAGCTTTTACTTTCTAGGTGACAGGCTCTGTGTACAATAGACAGACTAGCATTAGAATCCAAAGAAATTTAAGCTAAATCGTTTCAGCTTTGTACAGAGACACAAGTGGAAAAATTTGTGAAAAATTGTGGCAAATCTGATGTTTTGCTTTGGGAGGGCCAACATGGGGCCATGGAACTGTTTTCCATTCGAAAGAGGAGGTGGTACTGCTGCTGGGAAGGGGCTCTTCTGAAGGAAGTTTCATCAAAGAGCACACACAGGTGGTAGGTGACCAGCCACATGGACACGTGTGACTCTTCTCCAATGGCCTGTCCAAGTTCCTCTTGGTTCTTCCTTCAGACACAGAGCCTTGGAGACTCACTCTGCTCCACCGTTTAGGTCACTGGTTTGCAGCTTCCAAGAATCCTTTTCTGTGACAAGTTCTTCTGCGAAGTCTGGTTAACTGGGTTTGTACCTGGCGATAGAAAAATCACAGCCCCTTCCAAAAGAACTTTTGAAGCTTCACCTTAGTCCTAAACCTTTGGCTCTTCTTGCAAGGGAGTATAAGTGTCAAGAATGCCTCCTTTGTTTAGGGGACACAACATAACTTTTTAAACAAAAAATGGGTTCTCTTCCAATTTGTCATTCAAAGGAGCCCAATAGGCTTTGCATACTCACTCCCAACTTCTCTGTTATCTTTGGAAATCTAAAAAGCTAAATGTTCTTAGCTTTCACCTGACTCCTTTCTCTCTCCAGCCATCACTTAATACCCAGTTTCTCAGCAGACATTATTTTATATCTCCTTGATCTATTACTATATTATTGAATTCTATAAAGAAGATAAAACTCACTTCTCAACTATTCCTTGTCCTTTCATTTAGTTTTACTAGAATAAATCCTGTTCTTTGCTCACATGTATAAGAATGTCAGTGTCCTAAGTGCTTACAAAGTGAGGACAGCACACTCAGGAACAGCGAGGAAGTCTTGCAGAGTTAATTTGCCCTTAGCTGGTGGTGGTCACAGACTCAAGGCCCCATGTGCTGGACTAGCTAAACTCTTCATAAGTCTGAGATTTAAACTTTCCAAGGCTACACGTTCATAAAACAATAAGTCACTGATCTGCCCATAGTAGTTTCTTCATGAATGAAAATGAGCTGAATTTCAGTGGCATGGTGCCAGTTCCAAAGAATAAGTGGGAAGGATGTTAACTCGTCCAAGCACAGAGCACAGAAAAATACCCATGCCTGGAATCCAGAAATCACTGAACTAGAAAGTGAGTGCTAAGTCAGGTGTTACATACAGCTATAATCCCTGATAGCCCAACCTGGGCAGTTAGCAATTCAGAGAGCCTGTCTCAGAATTTTTTTTAAAATTGGGGATGTAGTTCTGTGTTGCAAGTGTTACTTCTGAATTTTTTTATTCTTTCTTGGCTAATAATTATCAGTTATTTTCTATGCCTCTTTTCTTCTCCCTGTCACCCCTGTGGCCATTCATATTCACAGGCCCTATTCCTTTACCTAAGTTGCTTTTTATTCCTCTCTCAAACTTCTCTGCTTTCAGATTTCCAAATCAAGCTAATGAATCCTGTGCTCTTCCATTGTCGTCTGATACCTGATGACTGACTTGAAGCCTGTCGTCCTGGGGTCTCACACCGATTCCCTGCAGATGTGACCTTCTGAGCTTTGGATGTGGTGACATTCAGGACACAGGGTGAGCTCTGCTAACCACAGCCATGTTCCTTCTCACATGTGGAAGCTCTGCCTTCCTCTACCATGGCGGAAAGGGGGGTTTTCTTTAGAGACTACCTCAGGAAATATGTCTGGAATTATGTTTTACATAAATTCTTTCAAATGTAGCAAAAATCTAAAGATCTGAAAACCAGACATACTCTTGTCTGCAGCACAATTTATTATCTGGTGATGGTATTTAGATATACTAAGAGGCCTCGATTTAACACCAGGTGACCTGTCTGGAGACAAAGCAACTGAAAAAGAAAACTTCAAGATATGCAAAAGCAATAAATATCAAACTTTCTGATCTAAAAACGTATAAATATAAAGTATCAGTCATCTCTGGAAACATCTTAAGGGGACCCGGGTGTCTGGTGCGACAAGGCTTCACTCCTCAGAGCACGTCACCTCAGATCCAGCACAGTCATCTTCATGTCTTTTACCAACACATGTTTGCATATCTAGAAAGAAAAAAATCTGTTTTACATCATAATGTGTAACGTATGTTTCTCATTAAGGAGAGAGTGTGGGTTTCCTAATTTAGGAATTTTCCCAGTTAAAACAATATTCTCAACCAGAACAAATACAGTCATGTTCCTTCATTAAAAAAAAAAATTATTTGCAGAAGTTGCCAAGTAATTCCCACTTTAAATAAATTCTGACTTCAAAATAATGTTTCAGCTCACAGAACCCTTAAGCAAACAATTAGAAAAGATGTAGTCAAATAGTGTTTCTTTCAGGCTATATAAAGCTGATCAAAAAGTATGGTTATTATCTAGGCATCGTGCAACATGCCTGTTATCCCAGCATTCTGGGGACTGAGGCAAGAGAATCACAAGTTCAACCCCAGCTTGAGTAATTTAAAAAGCCCTGGGTATGTAGCTCAGTCTGGAAACCCTGGGCTCAATTAAATAAATGAGAGAGAGAGAGACAGAGAGAGAGAGGAAAATATTATTTTAGCCAAATCAAGCAGAAAGGATTGGTGAAACTTTACTATCATGTTCTCTAATAATTTATGCCTATTTGAACTCTCAAGAAAACATCGTTTAAACATCATACAAATACATAAATGGATAGGTAACTTTATGTGTAATCAGCTCTACCACAGAAATCCTGACATTTCCTTGCAAATAAAATAATAGAAAAGTCCGAGATTACAAAGACTGATAGACTATACTAGACCAAACTAAGCCATTCGGTCTTTTATCCCACCATCCACGGCTCCATTTTTCTCCTATAAAAAAGAGCCAAGTGGGGAGAGGTGAAAATGAATATCTGCAAAATACACCCGTGGTCTACTCACACTGAACAGCCGGGGGTCCTTGGTGTGAGGGTGGAAGCCCTTATTTTTACAAGCGGAAACCTCGAGCATGCCAGCATTGGTGAGCCTGAAGATGCCAGTGCTACATTTTAGGGTGAAAAAAGGGCATAAAAGTACAGATTACTTGGAACTCCCAGATGCTTTATCTGAACAACACAAGCATAACATATATACTCCACAAATAGGACCCAGGAAGAAGACAAAAACTAGGAATTCCACGGCGATTATTTTTTCAAACTACTTTTCCCCTGACTAGTCCAGAAGACAGAACATCAGGAGGAGGTACCTGGAGGACTACAGTGGGGACAGGAAGCTTCGCTGCTGTGTGAGATCATAGAGGAGAGTTTGACAACCTCCACCACCACTGATGAAATTATGAGACAAATATTAACTTTGCTAATAATGCTAATGCTGCTTATAGCAACATAAAATGTTAACTGAGTACTTGCTGTGGTAAGCATGTGACATAAGACTGTCACCTCATTTCATCTTCACATCGACGCAAGATGCACACAGACAAGGGATGGAGAAACTGAGGCTCACAGTGGTCAGGTATCCTACAACTTGAGGGTGAAGCCAGGATTCCAAATGTGCCTGACTCCCGTGGTTATAATTATTTGACAATAAACTTTGTCTCTCAAAATGAGGGCTGTTCTGGAGGTAATTAAGCTAAGACTAGGAAATTTCTTATAATAAAATGTAGGATGGTAGAAATAAGATCTTGAAAATGAAGCTAGCCATGGTAGCACGCACTGTAATCTCAGCACTTTGGGAGGCTGAGGCAGGAGGATGGCAAGTTTGAGTCCTACCTGAACAACATAGTGAGACTCTGTCTCAAACTTTTTAAAGTGGTGGAGGGAAAGGGCTGGGGCTACAGCTCAGTACAAAAGCCTTGGGTTCAATTCCCAGTCCAAAAACCAAAAAACTCAAACACTGAACAGAGATAATAACATCCCTCTTAAATTTTATACACTTTAAAACCACACTAGAAACATTACCACTGACAGGACCTCAAAAACAAGTCTTCAGAGCTACAGGTGCATGGACACCGGCCATCTCTTCTCCTGAAGGCCACGATGTGCCACTTACCCAAGAGCCATGACCAAAGGCCACATCTGTGTGGACAGATATGGACCCAGCAGCCCCAGATGCCGTCCTTGGTTCCCCTCCAGGGTCACACTTACTCTTTATGCTTTGGGGAACAAACAATGGCCACAGCTTCTGGCAACATGAGCTGATAGGAACAGTGTGTGTGTAGATCCACGCTGGACAGGAATGCGGTTTGGGTGGGATGTGTCTGTAAGGAGAGGAAAAAGATGGCCCCTTAGGGTAGTTGATGGTTAGCCAAGGCCACAGCCTATTCAAAGAGAGAAATCTGTTTATTCGCATTTTTCTTTTTTACCCTCTTTAATTAAATAAAGATTTTAAACAGTGTTTTTCCGGGAAAATCCTTCCAATTATGCATTCCAATGATTTTCTCATTTGGAGTAAATAGTCCAAATACCTAGAGTGTCGTGTATTTTGTTCTTATTGGAATAAAAGAGTTAGAAGCTGGGCATGGTGGCACACATCTATAATCCTAGCATTCTGGGAAGATGAGGCAATAGAATCACAAGTTCAAGCCACGCTAGACAAACTACTGTCTTAGCAAGACTTTGTCTTAAAAATACAAAATTACAAACATAATAATAAAAGGGGCTGGGATGTAGCTTATTGTGAAGGCTCTAAGTTCAATCCCCAGTACTTGAAAAAAAAAAAAAAGAGCTGGAAATGGTTTTCCAAAGGTTTTAAATACATTCTTATTTCATCATTACAACTCATCCATGATTACTTATTTTGTGATCTCAATTTTGCATGAGCCTCAGAAAGGTGAAGCAATCAGGTCTACAGCTGGTAAGGAGCAGAGGTTTCTATGACTGGAGACCCTGGCCTGGAAATGTTTATATACAAAACCGTAGACAAAAAAGCTTTCACTGCATATACCACATGCTACTGTGCATCTTCCTCTGGATCGCTGTTCCCTATAAAAAGGAGGATGGGAGTTCCTCAGTTGTTAAAGATGTTTGGAATTCGTCATGCCCAGCAACTGAATACTCTCATGATGAGAACGAAGAGGGGAATATAAATCAAAAGCAATCTTCCAAGTCTTTCTGGCTATATAAAACTTAAGTTTATAAGAGACAAATCAGAGCTTCATATTTGAATATGAAAAATACCATGAATCTATAACGATTGAAGAGTCACACTGAAACTTTATGACTCTCTCACACACACACACAAAGAATGTGACCACTTTAATCACGAAACAAAGGTCTCTGGTACACACTCTCCGGGTCCTGGCTCTATGACTCACTCATAAGGCACGGGAGGATGACCAACCATTTCTTGCCCATTTTTTCATTTGTAAAATGGATGATAATCATTTTCCTCATGGGAGGATATGAACATGAAGTGGGACAATCCATGTAAAATTCTTACACCAGAGTCCAGCACATAGAAAGGAAGCAAAGTGGTTTGCTGTCATTGTTGTGTTGTTTTAATGTCATTATTATCAACTAAATTGCATATGCTCATAGGAAGAGCTTAATGTCTTTATACACACCAGGGTATATTATAGAAATGAAAGAGGGGCTGGGGATTTAGCTCAGTGGTTCCACCACCTGCCTCGCAAGCGCAAGGTCCCAAGTTCAATCCCTGATACAAAATAAATAAAAAAATAGAAATGAAAGAGTTTTCAAACTCTTCTTACCTATTTGACAGAATGAAGGTAAAGTCATCTGGTTGTATGCACAAAGGTGTTCTACAAGGAAAATATCACTCTTGGCCTATACAGAACTAGATTAACAAAGGAATGGAAATTATCTCAACATTCTCCATGTGTGGTGCTGGAGGCTAACCCAGAGCAAGCTGATCCCACTCTCTGTCTGGGCTATCTTCTCTGCCCTATTCTCACTTTGAAAACCCAAATATTTAGTAGGGCTATGAATGGAGATTCCTTGTTATACAAGGAAAATTTTCTTTGTGTAGATTAGAATTTTCTATGCTTTGGTGAGAAAGTAAAATTTGTTTAAAGCAACTACTGTGATATGGAGGCAGCAAGCGAGTTGTCAAACAGACAAATCACTCTATGAGTCAATTTATTTCCAGATCAAATGTGCAGCACATGACCACCCGAGTCCTCATGTCCACCAGTAAGAGTCCTTTCTATTCTGATGAGGACATCTCTCTCCTGGGAGAACGGTGCTCCCATGCCCTAACTCTATGGAAATAAAAATGATGACGATGATGATAAGAGCAGCAGAGGCCATTTATATTGCAACGGAATAATCCACCAGACACTGAACTCATCACTTTCTGTGAATTATATCACTGAGTTTTCACAGCAAGATGTGATCAGTGAGGTTAACATTTCCATTTTACAGATGAATAAACTGAGGTAAACAGAAGGGCAGGTAGCTCACTGAAGTTCATACAGCTAATCAAACTAAGAAGTCTCAATTCAAATTCAGGTCTGTCTGATTCTGATTCAGCCTTTCTTTCCTATAACTAATTTACATCTGAAAAAAAAGTTCTGGAATTGGTTGCTGTTATCATGCTCTATAAAAACCACCACAAAAGTCATTTAAACCACCGAGGTTTAGAAATGCAACCCATTTGTATTTTCATGCAACTACAACAATTTGATACAATTAGATAAATTTAAACAAAGTTCTATAATTCTAGAACTGCCAAATTCATAGAATTTAAGCAGCTTAGATTCATTACCACATACATTAAATACAGGGAAGTTCATAGAATAAAATGTTTGCTATTAATGTGGGAATGTTTTATATGATAAACTAGCACTGGCTTGTTAATATAAGGATGTAATTTAAAGAACTATAATTTTCAGTTTGTTACAATTTATTTGCTATAATTTGTTTTGTTTTAAAATATACTTTTGTTACAAAAATTATATAAAGCTAAATAATGGCTATTAAATAAGCAATTCCCAAGTAAACAGTAAAGACATATTATTTACTGTTAAGTAAGGAAGGTAGATGCGTGGCAAAGTTTTGCAAACTCTTCATTGTAAATAAATTCTTGCATATGAGAAGTGGATTATACTTCTCAAAGGGCTTTCACACATGCTAGCTTGTTTATTGCTTACATAAATTCAGTGAGGAGAGAGGGCACTCTGGCCTCATGCAATCAATAATGAAACTTGGAAATAAGGAGGGAGGAAGCTTGACTAAGGGCACATAGTGATTTACAAGTGGAGCGGAATAAAGTCTCCTCAAGCTTTCTAAGTTAGTACTAAATACTTGACAAGGGTGTGTGTGTGTGTGTGTGTGTGTGTGTGTGTGTGTGTGTCTATAAAATATGAAATCATCACTTATTTTTTAGGGGCTCTCAGAGGTGCCCAGAATGTGCTCTGAAAATCTTGGCCAGCATTCCATGACACTGGATGGATCGTTCCTATCTGCTCTGATTTGAATGTTGATGTTCGCACCAAAATTCATATCAAAGCTTAATTCCCAAGGCAACAGAATTAAGAAATGTGGCTTTGTGAAGCGATTATTAGCACCCTTGTAAAACGGCTTGGGGTTGAAGGAAGGCGCTTTCTTGCCTTCCACCTTTTAAAAAGTGAGGACAGCATCAAAGTACCACTTTGGAAGCAGAAATCAGCTCTCCCAGATACCATCGCTAGGGTCTTGATCTTGGTCTTCCCAGCCCCCAAATACTGGAAGAAAGAATTTTCTGATTTTTTAAAAATTAGTCTCAGATACTTTGTTATACCAGCATAAATGGACTAAGACAGTACCATAGGTCCTGATATATAGATTGAATGGAAAAGTTGTCTATTTTATGGAGAGGAAAGAGTATCATTACCAATAGCAGGGGTTACAATTTTTCTCAATGTTTAGCCTAGAAAAATAGGCTAAAAAATTCATTGATATTTTCTCATTTAATATTCACTATCATATAAAATCAATAATTATAATCTCTATTTTATGAATGATAAAGTTGATGCTCAGATTGGTTGAGTGATCTGCCAGTGTTCCTACAGTGAATCCTTAACAAGCTGAGATTTATACAACTATTTGATTTGTAAGCTCCTTTCTGCTCCTATCATGGCCTGGTAGAGGTCAGAACCTGATACTCTGGCCCTGTTCATTTTTCCAGGTCGGTGGCTGTTAATACACTGGAGTTGTACTCTGGAAGGTATGAACTTTACTTGACATATAAAAGCTGTTTAAGAGAAATATCTCTAGAAAAAAAGTTTTCAATTAACCTAGCTTAGACTCACAGCAAAAGGAAAGATAATATTAAAACTATCTATCAAATCAGTTAGCCTCACTAGACTATGCAAAATCATCAAAAAAAGTCATCAAAGCTACTCTTCAAATCCAAACTTGACAGATTTAGCCACAGCCTAACAATGAAGGAAATGCTTTAATGTGACATTTATTATACTAGAAAACATTTAAAATCTGTTGAAATTGAGCTAAATGTCTTGCAGAGGAAAACAACAGACCATCCAAAAATAAAGTGGACTTAAAAGGCCAGACATACATGGATCCATCCCAAAGTGAGGAGACCGTGCTGGTCCTGAACACTGAACAGTTCCTCTACGTTCTCCACGTCACAATAGTCTGGTCCTGCAGACTGCTTTGGCACGATTACGTGGGTAACAGTGAATTCATTGTGTGTCTGGAAAACAATGTTAAAAAGAATAACAGGCACAAGACAAATAAATCTGAATAGGATACCTGATGCTTTGCTCCTAGAGAGCATCCTACCATGTGCACCACCCAGACCCCACCGCAATGCAAAACAAAAGTTCTTTGTGTCAAGTTTTGATATTCCACTGTTTAGAGCTTGAAACCCATTTTCACAGTAGAAATTATATCATAGATAGATAGCTGAGGGACAGGGAGTCCATGGAAGTTGTTAATAAATAATGTCTTCACATATTAGATCTATAACAGAAAAAGTGAGAAAAAAGCCAAGGTGGATTTATTCGGAAGTAAAGACACTACCTAAAAAATCTGTTGTGTCACTGCAAGGCACCACTGAGAATTATGGAGATTGATGGTCTTTTTTTTTTTAATTAATCATATTTTATTTCTCTTAAAGGCATGACTTTTTTCTAATAAAGTAGGCTTTCCCATAATTTTGATAATGTTTTGACTTTTACAGTTACACAAAGAGAAAAGAAAAGCAAATTACACCTTTCAAGTAAAAGATAAAGGTTGAAAAGAAGAGGCTCTGAGCTGGTGATGAGATGCTCTCTGTGTTCCCTGGTACACGCTGGCCTCTCCATCCCTACATAGCACCACTCTCATTAGCACCAGGACCGTGTGGAAAACTGGACACGATTCCTTCAGCTGTGATTGCAAACCCTTCCCCCTCCTCCCCAGACAAGGTCAGGTTTCCATGATATCCTGCATTTCCACCGAGAGCACTGAGCCCCACTTTCTGGTTCTTCATAAGCATCTGGTAAGCCTCATATGGCAGAGACTGGGGCTGTTCCAGGCCACTGGAGGCCTAGAAGGAGATGGCACATCCAGATGTTCATGAAATGTTTTTCTGATGAATGAACAATGAATCAATGAACCACATTAAATATAACATGTGGGGAATGAAGCATCAGGCCCTAATGGGTGAAAAAGATGACTAGAGAGGAGATGACAGGTCATTCTGTGCTTTTCACCAGTGGTTTCTTCTCTTGGAGGAAAAATGATAATGAAACACTGAAATTCAGCAGGAGAATGTATGAGAATAAAACACATCATTCATTCTAAACGTTAAAGGCTGAAAATGTGCCTGGACCCAGAAATATAAACTGACATTTATAAGAGGATATGAAAGGACATTTCAAAAGTCATTCTTCATCTTTATTGCAAGAGGAAAAATGGGTCCTCTCTCATTAATCTCCTATTTTGATATTGTCTTCTATCACACACTTCTGGCAATATATTTCATAAATATGACCAGTAATTATAGACTTTAGTTTGCTGAAACTATTGCTTTAAACTTTAAGAAAACAGCAAAACTCTAATTTCATTCTATATGTATCTGAAAAAAGATGGCAAGATACCTGCCACAGGTTAAAAACAGGCAGAAAGTAATTAAAGTGTGTGAGACCAGGAATTGCCATGAAATCTGATTTAGAAAACAAAGTGAATTTGTAAATCTGAAGACTTGCAATCTACCATTTTTTCTAAACAAAGATTTAATTTATGGCTTAAAACAAGCTTTGTAGTGCCCCTGAAATTTTACAATCCATCTTCTAGAGATATATTCCATGAACAACGATAGTAGATTTATGAAATTATCTAGTAAATTTCATAATATTTACAACTTTCAGGCTTTTATTTTACTGTACTAATCACAAGAAAGCTAATACTATTGAAAGCATCTTGTGTAGAGAGATAGGAATAAAAGACCGTACCAGTTTCCCACAGAGTATTCCACAAGTTTCTATTCCTCTTACTGTGTTGGAATCGGCCAGCAGCAAGAATTTGTGGCAAAGATCTCTTGGTAAGAGCACACATCTCAATCCTTCAACCACCAAATCTAAGACACAGAAAAAGGAGAAAACCTATATCCTGTCCTTTAAAGTTAATTTTTTAGATTAACTGTAGTTAAATATAAGGTTCATCCATGAAATTATCAGGTGTGCCATTTTCCATACTTTGTTTTAAGATTCTTAAAAATAAACATTGACTAAAATGAAAACAAATTTATGTGTAAATTATTTTATAAACAAAGGGGTGAGCTGCAAGCAGTTTTACACATTTGTACCCTGGAACAATTATTTCCACATATGTGTGTATTTTCTTTTGGTGCATAGCAAATACACCACTCAATGAAGAAGCTGCATAAAATAGATTTTGCTTCCTATAAGACGTAGAGTGAATAATCTTCATTATATTTGCTTTGTGAGACGTATACTCAATGAAAGTTACTGATCAGCAAGCAAAGGCATACTTTAGAAATAACTAGCAGTGAAGTTTATAAAATGGGTGCCTATCATTATTACTCTTTTGAAATAATCAGGCATTCAGATTCCATCTGTTAGTGTCCCCCAGAAAGAATTCTTTATTTGATTTTGGGTACCTGCCAGTGCAGTGCTTACAGTGTTAACTAGCACTGATCGGTGGCAGAAATATGTACTCTATTTGGATTTTAACTATAAACATGTAGGAGATCCTCTCCATTCACGAATAATGCTAAATATATGAGCACAAACATTTTTGTGGTTGAGCAAAAGTCTGGACAATTTCTTCAGTATATTCTTTTCTCTATGCATTAGTGTTTACCTCTCAGATTTATGTGTTTCTTAGTTAAAATTCACGGGAGAAAATGAATGCTAGGAATTCTCATTTACAGTCTGTATTCAATGAGAAAAGACAGTCCCATTTGTTACAAAGTCTGCTTAATCATCAGATGAGTCATGTTTCCTGAATTTCAAAGTTATATATCGTAAAAGCCACAGAACACAGACAAGTTAGTTCTGCCATTCACACCACTGAATGTAGGAGTCCTACTACAGTTAGTAAGGAAATGAACAGACTCTCCCGGATGCTACAGGCCGTTGGTTCCTTCAGAGAAGCCTCGGCTCTAGAAGCGTGCATGACATCACTTACTCTGCACAGCACTTAGAGTAGCTGCTGGCTTTAAGGCCCTGTTTACAGGAGGCGAATGGCTAGCATAATTGGTTGCTTCGCTTTTAGGTTGATCTGCCAATACATTCAGCAAGGAATTGTTCTGGTGTGAGGGAAAGCAGGAGACAGCCTTCCCATCAATCTGCTCCGAAAGTGCAGGAGTCTCCTGACTTCCCATCTGGCCTCGGGCTAACTCTTGCTTCTTGAGCTGGTCTTCGAAAAATAGAAACTGCTCCGATTCTAGCTGCTGCTGGCGTATCTGAGCAATCCGCTTCCTTTCCGCCTCTATCAATCTCTGATGCTCCAGTTTTTTGAGAATTTCAGCTTTATATTTGTTCTAAAAAATATAGTTGCCAGAGAAAAGGTTAATTTCCAAGGCAAAAACATCAAACTGGGGTTACTTACTTTCTAGCAGGCAAAGAGACAGCTGGAGACTTCGGTGATATGGACCAAAGGACCCTCATGAAACCATAAGGAAAACACACGTCACAACAAAAGTCCCTTGATCTGATTGAAACAGCAGCTCCAAGTCCTCTCATGCTTTGCTAGAGACAGAGTATTGTCATACTCTGTCAGGTTCCCTCCTATTCTCCCTATTCTCCGGTATTTCTAAATAATGGAAAAATCAAGGTCAGGGCTGTCTCAGCCTGACCAGCAAGACTGAAACAAAATGTCTTTCCCCAAGACTGCACTGCCCTGTTCAGTCACCAGTGGCCACATGTGTCTATACAGACTAAAACTAATGAAAATTAAATAAAATTAGAAATTTGATGCCTCAATCATACTAGTCATATTTTCAGTACCCAATAGTCACACATGGCTGCTGGCTACCATCCTGGAAAGTGTCAAATAGAACATGTTCATCATCACAGGAAATTATGTTGCATAGGGCTGACCCAGAACTTTTAGCGTTTGATTTTAAGATTCATTCTCTGCTACAGTTTTGTAGAGGAGCAGAGTCACAAACAAATAGCTCTTGACATGTATTCTAACTGTCTGTTAGATTTACCAGGAATTTTGTTAAAAATGCAGAATCCCACGCTCCTTAGTCCCAACAAAATATCCAGACATTATTAAATTAGAGAATGAAGACATTTAATAAGCTTCCCAAGTTATAGGGCTGGAAACTAGATGTGGGAATTAATGTCAGGTGATGTAGTGAAGGAACATAGCCTAGATTCTGCCTTTTAACAAGTGTCTGGGGGACAAAGGTACTCTTGACAACCAGGGCTTGCAGAAAGGTCTGTTCATCTATCTCACAGATTTCTATGTAGGACACTAGTGTGCTCAGAGAGACAATTTGTGTCACTCAAGGCAAAGGGTGCCACAGCTGTTGAGCCTGCCCCCCACCCAGGGAGATCCTCCAGAAGAACACTGTCTGCCTTGCAAAGTGTGGGCGACCCTTGCTGTTGCTCTGCCGTGCTCTACAAAACGGATTTCTCTCACATTTCAAATTGAATCATGGAGAGCCACACTTCCAAGCTCAGCCTTCTAGTACTTAGTTAAAATACCTCATGCAAACTGACCTCTGACCGTGCCCACTGAAAGCCCAGACAGAGGTGATGAGATTGAACTGAAGTAAGGGTCATGCAGGTGGCAACCTCTAATGTAAATAAACACACACACAAACAAACAAAGCACAACACTTACAATAATGCAACAACCCTCGAGAATTCACATTTTAAACTTGAATATCTTGGTCAGTTTCTTTTTTCAATGCCTATCTCTCAGGTGTCATTATCACTTTCATTTTTTATTTAACAACAATAAGAAATCACCATCCCTTGGTGCTGTGGTCACTTTTCATCAATATGATTAGCTATTGTTCTATCTATATGTATTATTCACTATAATATTTAACAATCAAATTCACGTTTCCAAGGCTTACATAATTAGACAAATCAGAAATCATGCACTGTTCTCACTACCTTCTACAGCCTCTGCTCATCTGAGAAAAAGTAGCTGTTTGGATCAAGTTTACATTGGCAAAATATGGCCCAAAAGTCCTATTTAAATCTCTGTAGGAAATCTATTTTGTAATGTATTGCTTCATTAGATGTTATAGGAAAATAAAAATACCACATCTTTGGTGCAAGTACTTAACCTGAACATCAGCATAATTTTTTTATTGGTTTCACATCATTGCATCTTTCATTTTTAATTTAAATGCAGACAACATTTGAAAAACTCATAAAAATGAAATTAAAAGTATTTGCACAGAAAACAGTCATGAAATAAATATACCAATTGAACTTACTTTGCTTTGCAAATATTCTTGGTATTCTATGTTATATTTCTTTAAAAGGTCCTTTTTCAATTCATCTGTCCTTGGGAATGCAATCTCCTTCAGTTTCTTTAAAAAAAAATATATATATACACACACAGATTAGTGGGATTTTTGGTATATTCTTTCAGATAATCAGCTGAGAAGGAAAAATAGCTGCTCCATATATTAGAAATTAAGTCATGAATAACCAAAGATGATGGCAGAAAAATAAATTCCTTATTCTAGGGCTCCAAAATATAATTTTAAAAAGAGAAATAAAAAACAAAAGAAGTATCCCCTTGTAAAATCTTTATTGAGCCCACTGGTTAGATGAGCTTTTTTTAAGGCAAGTATTCCATTTTTAGGTGGTATGTTTGGATTCCGTATATAAATCATATAGCATCAGAGTAACAAGGGAACACTGGAGGGTGTGGGGCTGTTAGGATTCCTAGACACAACCAAAATACCTTTCATAAAAATACAGACTCTGAGGCTGTTACTAGATGTACTGAATTAACATCGCTGGAGAAAAGCTGAGATAATCAGCATCTCAAACAACTTCCCCTGGCATACTCAGGGGCAGGAAAATCTGAGAAACCAGAGTCCAATTACCACCCTTCTGTTTGGAGATGAGGAAACAAAAGCCAGGTGATGAACCTATGGCAAGCGTGCCACAGCAGGCTATCTGTTATCACTGAAAGCTCTAAAAGGTTCGCCATCTCTGGTAAAGAAATTGTTAGTTATCTTATAACTAGCTGGTTGCCCTGTTAGGACCAGAAGCCAAATCTTCTACCAATAGGCAGGCCCTTCCACTAAAATGTTTGTTCTCTTAATTCTTCCTCATTTATTTATCCACCTATCCATGCATTCAACAAGCATAAATAAAAGAAAGGTAATGCTTTTGGAGAAGTTTGCAACACTCAATTGTAGCAAGAGTCACCTTGGCAGCATACAACTTTTGGTTTCCATACTGTCTGAGGTTGAATGAATGAGAGTGTGGAGGAAAAATGGTATACAAAACCAGGATATTGTAGTGAGTGTAAACATTTAGATAATGTAAGTGACCTAAAAATATGTTTCCAGACAGCCTTCAGCCTTATAGGACTAGTAGGAGACTCTTTATTCCATAACATGGTAAAATATTTCCCAATAGTTATCATGCTGTGATTGTGTGATACCCCTCATAAAACCAACACTAACTAAGACAAATGAGAAACATTTTAAATACTTATTTAAAAGGGTATGTTCTCAGCTATAGATAGATTAACAAATGCTTATGATGAATAAATGCATTACAGCAATCTTTCTTTTCCTTGATAGTATTTGACGCAGGCTATCCCTCAACTCTTACTGTGTATAAGCCCAAATTCTCTAAGCAGTAAATACAGTCATGAAACATTTCAGGATGAGGATATACTCTGAAAAAAAGTGTGTCATCTCTGGATTTTGTTATGTGAACATCAAGTGTATTTACACAAACTAAGATGCCTATGATGTGCTGAGGCAATGTAATTTAATGGAACCAACATTGAACACACGGTCCATGGTTGACTGAAGTATCATTCTGTGGTACATGACTGCAGCTAGAACTCTGTTAACACTGGTCCGGCATGGGGATGCATGCCTGTAATCCGAGCTGCTTGAGAGACTGAAATAGGAGGGTCAGAAGTTTGAGTCCAGCATGGACAACTTAGCAAGATCCTGTCTCAAAAAAAGGGGGCGGACAGGGTGGCTGAGATGTAGCTCAGCACTCCCTGGGTTCAATTCCCAATATCACCAAAATTATAATAATAATGATGATGCACAGTATCTTTTTTTGAGACAGGGTCTCGCTTTGTAGTGCAGGTTGGCCTTGAACTATGCAGCCCAGGCTGGCCTCAAACTCACAATGGTCCTCCTGCATCAGCCTCCAGAGTGCTGGGATTATAGGCATGTGCCACCATGCCCCGCAATGCATAGTTAATTGTCAAATCATTATTGAGTTCGGGGCTACAAAAAATAATTAAAACCAGTCAAAATGACTATCTAAAAGAAGTACAGGAAATTATATAACCACCCTCTCAATTTCTGGGAGGAATTGAAATCGTTCCTTTTTCCCATCATAAGGTGACAGAGTTCATCCTCTTTCTTCTATCCATCACATCAATTAGACACCCACCACACACTGGCTCAGTCACAGTCATTCAAAGAAATCGAAACATCGTAGCTAATGGAATGAATCTCTTGTGTTCAAACTCTCCCGAGGAAGAGATAGAAGAGGAAAGGCAGGGGCTGGTGAGCCAATGACGGCTGTTTGTAGAGTGTTTGCTCCCACAGTTGAGAATCGGTCCCACAATACCTTCATAATATCCTGCTTTTCTGGTACTGCACATTGCTGGTAATCGCGGTGGCTAGGAAGCTTTTCTACAAATAAGCTAGAGAAAAAGAAAACACATCCTCAGCATTACATGAAAAGTAAATGAATAGCCTTTCCTTGACAGATCAGAATGCGATGTAAATGATATTTCTGACCAACTAGCACGGAAGACATTACAGTGACTGATTCTATTGTTTTCACCATACAGTCATCATTTCCATTTTGCCTGATGATCAGGCCATGGGGAGACAGGAATGAAAACATAACTTCCACTTCTCAAATGAGAAAATTAATATAGAAGCAGCATAATAGTTGTTAGCTCCTTCTGACTTCATAAACAATAAAATCACGAATGCTGAGAGCTGAAGGAATTTCAGAGAGTCTCTCCTATAAATCTTTCATTTGTAGATAGGGCATTGAGACCCAGAGACAATAAGCAAGGCACAAATTATCACACTGCTAATGACATGAGAGAATTCAATCATTCTGAGTACTCAGTAACTCGGGATACGGTGGCTTTTTTCCTTTGCAGCACTTAGGATTCCACATCAGTGTGAGCATAACTGGAGTAGAAAGTGAAAAACATTATCTGTTAATAGCACAATACAATGCAGAAACAAAAAGTTTTGGAAATCTGTGGCTATCAAGGTGGGAGATAACCTTCAATTTCATATTTATTGATTAACTTCCATAAAACAATTCATTTTTCCAGGTGGGATGACGGTTATCACCCATTCTCTAAATTTCCAAGCTAAAAATTCAAAAATAAATAACTTAGAAACTTATATGTTATGTAAACCACTTTCAATTTTGCCTTTGGTAGAATGACAGAAGGTAGTTTTAAAATTACCTCATTTTTCAACTTCTTGGGTGTACTCAGGGTAAGCCCCCCACTCAAAACAGTGAAATTGTAAGTGAAACAATCCAGCTACAAAATGCAAAGTATTACATAAACTTGCTTGCGTGTGAAAATTTTAAAACGTCAACCTCAGGAAGCAGCGAGTAGAAGGGTGGTACCTGCAGGATTGGGGGATGGGAATGGGATTGGGAAGACGCTGGTCGAAGAACACAGCTCCAGTTCCACAGGAGGAGTAGGTTTAGGAGGCCCAGTGCACCAGTCAGTATACAGCACGGTGACCGTGATAAATGTATACTTAAAGACTGCCTACACAGTCAAGTTTAAGTATGCTCACTATTTAAAAAATTGAAAGTATGTGCAGTAATGGTGATGCTAATTCGCTTGATTTGGTCATTCCACAATGTGCACATCTATCAAAACATCATAAATATAAATATACATAAGTGCCAATTCAAATAAAATTAAAAATAAACTAGTGAAATTAGCCAACATATGATTTCAATTAGAACCAACAAACAGGAAAACATTTAGTTTAGAGTAAATTAATTATTGAGAAGAAGAGATCTCTCTAACCAGTTAAGTTGCTAAATTGGTGAGAAAATTCTAATCCCATTTATGTTCATTTTTAAGCTACGTTCTTAACAAAGCACTAGTGGGAAATACATCATTTCTATATGGCTATTTTGATGTGGCCACTTTCACTCAACATTTTGAAAGCACTTTTGTACTTAGGATTCTTATGTAGTCAAATAAATTATCTTAAAAAAAATACTAAGTATTGTGTAGAGCTGGCATCCCCCAGAATCACATCCTGTGTTTCCCAATTTGTCCCTAAGACTCAACCCCTTATATCAAATTTTAAACGTATGGGTGACATGTTCCAGGTGCTGTAGGTGAAACTGCAATAGGGCTCTCAGAAAGCTTGCATTCATGTGGAGAAGGAACAGCATGGAACAAGAAATTCTAGGGCCGGGGATTTAGCTCAGTGGTTCTGCTGCCTGCCTAGCAAGCGCAAGGACCCGAGTTCAATCTCCTGTACCAAAAAAAAAAAAAAAAAAGAAATTCTATTTGTGGCGTGTGACACACTCAGGTTACTGGTCTCACCTGCTGAGAGCCTCCCCTCCTCCCTGAACTTCCAGTCCTTTCTAGGCCCCAGAGAGGTAACTGGATGCCCTTCCATACATTTATTGGGAACTTAAAAACCTAAGCATTTAATGCCTTGAGAAACAGTACTATTGGTTCTAATATAAAAACTGTTCTGCTGCCTCATACTGCCACTTGAAAATGTCACGTATTTTTTTTCTAATTTCTCATTTCAGAGGTCTCTTAAAACAAGAAAAAACAAACCAAAAAAAAACTTACGTTATAAATTTATTGTAAAGAACAAAGGCATTTTCCAAATTTCCTTCTTCCAAGTACACAGACGCCATCCTCTCCATTTCTACCCCTGACCTGAAGTAGCGGCGAGGCGTGATGTCTTCATTGATGGCAATATTGCAGCCCAGCTTGCTCAGAGCTCGGACCCGCTCTTCTGGGCTCACGGAGACATCTGTGTGGTCAGGCATAGCAGCTAATTTTTTCTGCAAAGCACAATTTAAATGCTTGACTACAATAAGAAAAGAACATGACTGATTAATAGATATATTTTCTACACTAAAAACCGGACATCAATACCTAAGGAAATCTTTCGTAAGACTTAATGACATGATCAAAGCAAAAACCTTACCTAAACACACCAAACAGACACTCATCCAGGATAGACTTACATTTTTAATTAAGTAAGAACTATTTTTAGCTTTCATGGTACATTTAGGGGACAGTTCTGAGTATGTGTTTTAGGTTATTTTAGGTGAAATATCATTGACTCTCCTTCATGCTCCTGTAGATGCTTACAGGAGCTAAGGGTGTAGGGAAAGTGGGAAGGGTAGGGGATAGGTAATAAGGGAAAAGAAAAACATATGAGAAAATGAAAAGATGGAAATAAAGTGTTTGTAAATGGGGAGGGGAAGAGGGGTGAAGGGAGGGCAGGGACAAGGGGAAAAAATGAGAACCAAGACCTCTCATGTAAAGGTACAAGATCCCAAAGATGAATGTAACTGTACTGTATACCTAAAGTGTACCAATAAACTCAATGAGACAGAGAAAAAAAAGAAGTCTGGCTGTGGTCCAAACAATAACTTTATTCCTGAGCCAACTTGTTTTCTCCTGGTTTAGACTAATATATCTCAAAATATGGCCCACTCCACAGCACTGTGAGCAACAATTGGGCTTTTCATAAAAATGGAAATTCCTAACTGGCCCCACTTCAGGGTCTCTGGGGTGGTTTGGAGAACAGATGCTGTAAGGTGCTACCAGTGGTACTGATGTTTGTGCCATTTTTTGACCAGTCTGCCAGGATTTGACCTCTCAGTTGAATCAGAGCCAAGTTCACTTCTTGAGGGCTCCTTATTAGTTAAACATGGAGTGCATGTTTGACTACAGTATGTAAAAACACTTAGCTAAGAGGTATATAAAGCTATAAAAAAAAATAAAGGTAGACATCGTTTTAGTTTGGCACAAATTACTGATAAGAGTACAGGGTATAGCAGATGAGATGTTTCAAGTTTTTCCAGTACCATCTGATCATATTTGTGGTAGTTTTATAGCAAATAGAAACTCAGGGATCTAAAATGACTCTTGTTCCTAAAGGCTTAATATATAACCAGAGAGCCATAAATATGTTTCTCAATGTTTCAGTTAGTCAAAAACAGGACACACCTTTTGCAACTGCTTTCACTCTTCTGATCTGACCTGTAGTGATATGAGAGAGACTTCCATTCAATTTTTTTCCTAGAAGCACCAGAGCTTGGGTTTCCTCTCCCTGAGAGTCTAAAGCTATTCCCTATGTAGGAAAACTGACTCAAGGTAAACTGGAGAGAAAAAGATAGCCTCCTACATTCTCCAGGTGAGAGCAGTTTCTAGTCCGAGTCACTAGGAATAAGGTCTGGATTCAATTTTCATTCTCACCTAGTGAGACCTTTGGATAGGTCAGAATTTGGTCAGAATTCTCAAAGAACAGAGGAACAACTGGTAGCAACATCAGCACTCAGGCCATTCCTATGTGACTTCATATCAAGCACTTGATATGAAAATGTATTTCCTTTATTAGAAAACAAGTGCCAACGTAGAGTTAGACAGGAAAAATTAGTTCTAGTGTTCTTAGGCATTATAAGGCTGGGAAAGTAGTTTAGTGGGAGACCAAGGCTTTAATCCTCAGTACTGCAAAAGAGGGAGGGGGAAAAGAGAGAAAAGAAGGAGGGAAGGAAGGAAGGAAAGAAGGAAGGGGAAGGAAGGAGAGAAAGAATTATAAAGTAACCGCCATGATTGTGGTTTATTGAATATTTCAAAATAACTAGAAAAAATTCTGACACACAGAAATCATAAGTGTGTGAGGAGATAGAAATGCTAATTACCCCAGTTTTACCATTACTCATTGTATACATGTATCAAATTATCATATTCTACCCTAAAAATGTGTAAAAACATTCTATGTCCATTTAAAAAGTATTAAGCCTTTCTAAAAATACACTTGCTTTGAATCATACTCTATTGTCTTTCCTTCTAGATCTCTGAAGGACTTTCTTGGGTTTTATCTTTTGCATCGCTTTATTTTTCTGATACTAGGGACTGAACTCAGTGCTTTTGCACTGAGCTAGATCCCTATTCCTTTTTTTCATTATTAGTTTTCATTCTGAGACAGGGTCTTATTAAGTCTCTCAGTGGTCCAGGTGGAACTTGAACTTGTTGTCCTCCTGCCTCAGCCTCCCAGAGTGAGGGAATTATATAGACAAGTGCCACTACACCCTCAGCCTGAAGGATTCTGTAATTTCATAAAAGCTGTTGAAGGCTTTCCAGCAGAGTCAAGAATAGCAGATTGTGGACTTGAGCCTCAGTCTTGATTACTGAGTATTTTCCAATTGAGATATCTCTAACAGTCCAGCATTCCATCCATTTTCCCCAGTCATATTCACCTATAATATTCAACAGCACAAAGTGACAATATTGTTATTAAACCACAGTTAGTTGCCTTAATGACAAAAAAAAAAAAAAAAAAGACTGGAAAATAACCCATGGAAATTAGAGCAGCTTCTAAAGAGGCTTCCAGACTCCCATATGCACAACAGTAATTTGTCCCTATTTTTTTAGTGTGCAGTCTACACTGAATCACAATTATCTCGGTACAAATCTTTCCCACCCCTCATGAACTCCTAGGGAGTTCTAAAAGAAATCAGTCTCCATTCATCTCTGCTCCCTAGCATACACCTTGAAACAGAAGTGATAATCCCTAAGTATATCAAATAAAAGACAGAAACTGGAGCTAAGGGAGAGTGGTAGGCCTTGCATGCACAAGGTCCTGGGTTCAATTCTCAACAGCAGAATGAAAAGAAGAAAGATGAGGAGAAATGAAAGGAAGTAACAAGACTATACTCCAATTATTTTGTAGCCTAGAAGATAAAAACAAGATTTTTTTTCTTTACTGAATGGTAATCCTTCCTAAATTTAAAATTAACTTCAGAGATAAACTGGGAAAAAAACAAAAGCCTTCTTTAACTAGATTTTATTTCTTTGTGAGCTTCTTGGATGAAAACATAAATTTTCTTAAGGGAAAAGAAAAAATATGAAAAAAAAGGAAAACATGAAAACAAAGCCTTTATACATAGGGAAGGGTGAAGGGGGTGAAGGGAGGGCAGGGGAAAGGGGAAAAAATGAGAACCAAGAAATATCACATAAAGGTACAAGATGCCAATGACAAATGTTACTGTATTGTTTGCTTTAAATGTACCAATAAACTTAATGGGGGAAAAAAAGGTTATAGCAAATGACATGCAGAGAGAAAGATTCTAGCTGGCCCACACTGAGTCTTGGTGTTAGTTGGTAAGAGGCTTCCTCTCTGGGTGAAGACAAACCATCAGGGTTCAGGATTTGGCGAGTGAAATGTGAACTGGATTTTAGCTCCCAGTTACTCTCAGCCAAGTCTTACTATGTAGGGACACTATAGCCTGAGTGCAAAAAGATAAAACAAAGAGTTACCTCAAGGATTTTACAGATTTTGTTGATGTGACTCATTATGTTGTTATCTGATTTATATTAATACATTAATAATTCTTCAAATGGCAAAAGTGTTTTCCTTCCTTCCTCTCTTCCTTGCTGCCTTTCTTCACCTAATATATACTGAGTTTTTATTATGTGTTCAGTACATTCCAAGAAAATAAGAAATGGAAATAAAACAGAGAAAATTCCCAAAAAGAGAGAGAAAACAAAATTTCTGATAAAAAGCCTTAGTGTTTGTTTTCACAGTGATAAATACAATAAATTTTAAATTATTCCAATTTAATGTTCTGGCAAAAACATGTAAGACACCCTATATGGATAACTCCTTCTTCTGTAGAGGTAGAAATGGAGCATTTTGTCTTATTCCACAGTGGGAAGAACATGAGGTCAGAAAGGGAGTATACTCCTCCAATTCCCTACCTTTCAAACATATTATGAATACAAGTGAGCTCCTGTGAAGGATTTTGATGGTCAAGAAAAAACACTAAGTCACAATCTCTTTCAGCGCAAGACCAGCCTTCTATTTCTTTATGTTCTGGTCTTTCTCTACTAGCATGTAGAGTATTCGGTGTAGTGCTGCTCAAATGAATGTCCCTTTGTGTGGGTCAGGGAGGGCCATCAGGAGCAGGTAAATGGCAGCTCCCATTTATCAAGCCACCATGATGGGCTGAGAACATGAGAAATATTGTCTCGAATTGTCATAAGGCACAAAGTACCAAATCAGGGTAACAGCAGTTACATAATGTCCTGTATTCTCACACCGGGAGACTGATCTGGGACACAGAGTAGTGAGGCCATGTGATCTCAATGTCTGTTATTTCTTCCCCTGCACACTCTTTTTCCAAAATATAGGTAGAGAAAGTGTACACCCTATTGGTTTAGACATAGCTAGACAAAGTGCACACAGCATGGGCAGTAAGGAGAAAACGAAGAACAAGTTTCAAGTATGCAGCCACTGACACAAGCACTGCAAAGTAACACCTAGATGTGAGATGCATAATGCTTTCCTTAGTAGCACACAAGGTAAGTCTCCAGCTTTTATTTATGAAAACCTGAGGTACAGGAAGGTTAGGTACCTGCTGTGATAGCAGCTCGAAAATTCTCTCCAGTGTTTTTCCAAAGGACCACTCTCTTAGAATCTAACTAGACAAATTAAAATTTCACACTTTTGTAGGGAAAAATTTATTTTTAAAGCTTGTGAAGATGGCTTTATTAGTCACTTCCTCAAAGGAGAGGACCACAGAGATTAATTTTTTTTTAAACCAACAAGTGCTAAACTTCTTCAAGGACTTGTGATTCATTGCACATTTGGTCTGCTTCTGTTCTTTTTGGGCTTTCCAAGCAGATGGGAAATACCAGCTGGTGTGACCTACCAGAGAGTTCATAGTAAATGGCTGCTCCATGCTGTCCTTCTACCAAAGGAAGTGGTTCACTGTTTCTTCTCAATCACTTCATCTGTTCCAAAGACAAAAAATCAATGCTAAGATTATTTGTTGAGAACCCAAGTTTCAAATCCCAAACCCCATGTTCAAAGAACATAAACACATCGAAATGACTTACATAGCCAGAGTGTTTAGAAAGGCTTTTGGAAATTGCTTCCAGACAACATAAAACCGTGGGTGGTTAGGGTTTCTTGAAGTTGACCTTTAAAAATAGAGGTGTGAAGGGAATTCATATTTGAAGAGTCACCGAGTATTTTTTTATTTATAACTCTAAGCAAAGATATGAAGTAGAAGTTTCATTTTTTTCAAATGGAGAAAGAAAAGCCTCATGTTTAAGAGCAAGACTACTGGGGCCATGGTCTGTACTTGGAGCCAGGATGTGTTTAATCTCATCTTTGGATCTGAGGTAGGCAAAATTCTAATGGGTCTATGACTCCTGCACACTGGCATCTGTAGGTTTGTGTAATTCACTCCTCTTGGCTATAGGCAAGACCTGTAATTGGCTTCTAACTGATAAAACATGGCAAAGGCAACTCCCATGATTAGGTTACATTATGTTTCAAAGGCAAAGCGATACTGCAGATATATTAAGGCCACTGATTAGCAGATGTGAAATTAATCCAAAGGAAGGTAATCCTGGGTGTTTCTGACCTAAAGAGATCAGAGGTTAAAGAAAGGAGATGCTCTTCTGCTGGTACTGAAGATCCAAATGCCATGAGTTCTGTAGCTACAAGAAAATTAACTGCCAGTAACCACGTGAAGTTCAAAAGGAAACCCAAAGCTTTGATGGTTCCCTACCCATGGTCAATACTTCAAATGACGCTGTATATAAAGTTCTGAGAATAGTTCCCAGGATAGTCAATATTTTATAAATGTTAGCTTATTATTAGAATCTTTATTTTATAAATGGGGAAACTGCAGCTCAAAAAATGTGCCTGAGGGGCTAGGGATTTAGCTCAGTGGCACTGCGCCTGCCTTCTAAGCAAAAAGTCCTGAGTTCAATCCCTGGTACTGACCAAAAAAAAAGAAGAAAGAAAAGAAAAAAAATGTGCCTAAGCTCAAATATTAACTCAATGCATGTGGGTCCTTTCCTTTTTATGCTAACGTAGGTCATGTTCTACATTACCACTCTCTACTTCTAGACTTACTGTGTTCTTTATACTTCACTGTAATCATTTAGGTGACTTTAGATACCTCTTCACTAAGCTCTTCATTTAGGAAACAGAGGAGCAGCTATATTTGCCTCAGTTATTACATTCTGTGATTCCAGAATTCTCAGAAGTAGATCAGTCAATCCCTCCCTGCTATTTTCTGGCTCAATCCATGGCTAAGGACCCCTTCAAGGGAGAACTAGGGGTTCTAGTTCTAGTTCTCCATGTATTCTGGTCTTTTTATTGTCTCTGGCCATTGCTGGAGTAAAAATTCTAAGCCTGCAGGTTACAAAATGCCCAAGAAAGAAATCACTACTGAGGGAGAGAGCCACAGTCACAGCATGAACTGGAAAATTCAGGCACCACTGAATACGGACAATACCAACTGGGGAACTATTGCTTTCCAGCGAGAAGAAATAAACAAAGGAAAAAAAGTTAAAGAACAAACAAAATCTTACGGGGAACGAGGAAATACTGGTCACTCAATTATTTTGGCCTTCTAAAGGGTAGAACTATTTCTTTTAAAAGCTACTCTGAGCCAAGCATGTAGAGCACGTCTGTTATTGCAGCATTCTGGGAGGTTGAAGCAGCAGGATCACAAGTTCAAGCCCAATCTGGGCAATTTAAGGACTTAGAGACCCTACCTTAAAATAAAAAATTAAAAGAAGCAGGAGTGATTAGAGATGTAGCTCAGTGAAAAGGGTTCAATTCTCAGTACAAATAATAATAATAATGTTACCTAGGACACTAAAAAGACAGAAAATAATTTAAAAAGTTGGAAAAATTAGGACAGCTGTTCTTAAATTTTAATGTCCCTAAAATCATATATCCTAAGACTTATTTAACATGCAGACTTGTGGGATGCACTCATAAGGATTCTGAAGCCATCCATTTAAAACCCAGTAGTAGACACTGTTTGTCAGAACATGGCCCAGGGATTTTGATACATGAGGCTTCCAAAGCAGTATTTTGAGAGGTGCTGCATGTGACAATGTGTCAGAATGGATTCTTATTTTCAGGCAAAAGCACTGACTCTTGAATTCGTGGAAAGATAGTGGGAAGATCACATATTTTCAGGAGAGCCGGAGAAACCTGGCTTTTGGGCTGCAGTTGCAGGACTACTCGAAATCACTCAGAAGCACTGGTCTGGCAAAAGTAACACTGCCATTTCCGTAACTGACAAAGTCTGCAGCTTCCCCTGTCACAATCAGCAACTCTGATAATCACTGCCTTGGAAACAGTGCGCAGCTGCCTGCTTTCCTGCATGTCCCCAGGGCTCAGGTCACATGCCAGCAGCCAGGCTGCCAAGGAGGCTGAAAATGCAAAGATCTACCACTGCGCATTTCAACAGGAGGCTGTGGGTGGTACCAAGTGAGAAAAGGCAGATTTAGAACATGGTGGCCAAAAACAATGGTAAATGTCCAAAACAACCAACCAGGGCCAGGGATTTAGTTCAGTGGTTCTGCCACCTGCTGCACAAGCACAAGGCCGCAAGTTCGATCCCTGGTACAAAAAACAAAACCATGTTTTCTGTCATGCACTTTTCTAGGTTTAAAATGTCTATTTAATTCAATGTATCTCAAACGCTAAAATTGATTAAACTACTACAGATATAGTCACTATTATACTGCATGCATAAATTTACTTATTATGCAGTAATAAAAACCAGCTCCTCCCAAATATAAGATGAAAGAAATTCACCAGTTGGTCTGTCAATGTATATTTTGAGCAAAATGGCACAAGTCCTGTCTTATTCCTTTACTTTTTAGCCACTCAGTGTGGTAGCTACAGCTGCAAAGCTAACATAAAGAGACATACTCTCAAGATGAGTAGCTCTCAAAGTGTGATCCAGGGTATCCAAGTTTTTTTAGGGGAGTCTGCAAGGCCAATAATTTTCATAATATTACTAAAACATTATTTTTTTCAAAAATATCAATTTCCCAAAACTGTATAGTGACTTCCAGGGGGTATAATTGTTTCTAGAATATAGCCAGGCATGGTGGTTCATGCCTACAATGCCAGCACTCATGAGGCTGAAGCAGGAGTATTGCCTTGAGTTCTAGGCCAGCCTGGGCTACACAGTGAGTTCAAGCCCTGCCTGAATCACAGAGCAAGACCTTATCTTGAAAAAAAAAAAAGAGAAAAAATAGTTAATAAATGTTTTCTTGCAGATTCTTATGAATATCTGTTTTAATTTTAATACAGTAAACATAAATAGATAAAATCCATAGAAACAAAGACTTTTAGAGCCACCAGTAATTTTTCTTTTTTCATTTTTTTTTTTTTTTTTTTTTTTTTTTTTTTTTTTGCCATGCTGGGGATAGAACTCAGGGCCTGTGCTAGGTAAGCACTTTACCACAGAACTATACCATAGCCCCTTTAGTAACTTTGAAGAGGGCAAAAATTTGAAAACTGCTGCTGTAGCTCAACTATACAAACAGTCAGTACAAAAGCTCATGATGCTATGTCAGTTTAAACAGATTTAAAGTAGGCTGTACAAATTGAAAACGTAAGAAATGAATGGCGAGAGTCATCTTCCATTTGGCCAACCACAGCCTTGATAAAATGATCAGAAAATTTTAGCTGCGAGTATAGCACAATTAGAAGTACCTAGCTCATAGAGCCTGAGACCCACAGGTACGACGGCAGTGAGCTAAACAGCTCATGGTGCCCATTCTCTCACTCTGAGATTAATATATAACTTTTAGCACATACATAGCTGCCCAACGAAACTCATGTACTCCTGCCTTTCTCTCAGTGAGCAGCCCTGTCACCGTGTTTGGGCTGACACGGTGTGGGTAGAAGTGATGCAATCAATGATTAGACCCTGCCCTGTAAAGAAAGGGATGTGGCCTGCTCCATCTACCCTGCATTCCCTTCCAGCTGGAAGGGCACTCAAAAGTAACCCCCTGGGACATGAGGAGGAACCAAAGCAAAACAAGAAGGAAAGGAGCATCTCCATTTGCTTACAAAGACCACTGTGAGAGAAACAAATTTTCACCTTGCTTAATGCTTGGAGTTGCCCGTTTGTTTCGGCAGCTAGGCCTGCACCCTGAAAAGGCAGTGCGTGCAGCCTGTGTGGTTAGATGCATCTCACGGTCACCCTCCATCCCCCCTGCCTCGGCACCCTATCTCTCCCCTTCCTCACCTGCCCCCCATACAGGAAGTACCAGATGTGAGTCCGCCTCCTTTCCTCTCAGCTCATCGAAACCCTGCCCAACCTGTAAAAACCCACTTATCCATCTTGAAGTTTCAGACTTCTTTAAAATCAGTACCACACAGTGCCTCTGACTAGTAGATACTGTAAACTACAGCCCCAAAAGGCTGCTTTTGCTTGTCATATAAGTTCAGTTTAGTTGTTACAATAAACTTTAACCTAGTTATCAACATTTAAAATTTAGATGATTTCATATAAAAATAAAATTTCCAGCCTCTTTTATTTTTTTAGGAGACTCTAGCAACAATGGGCCTGGACCTTACTTATTCCAAAGGTGGACTAACCAAATAGATGCTAAGCCTCTGATAAGGAAATCAAAGCCATTTCGTTAATGTTCTCCTGTTCCAGAAAGAGGAAAGACACCCAGTTTAAGTGCTATGATGATAAGCAAATGATCCTTCAGGGAAGAAAGCAATCGTGTAACATTCATCTCACAGAGAGCCATCAGCAGCTGGCAGGGCTGCTGAGAGGAACACAGGCAGGAGTGACAGCAAGAGCTAAAGATAAACGAACACTGCAATTTGGAGAACCAGAAATGCACTGAAGCAGACAGGCAAAGATGGGATGTGTTCAATGTCATCCAAAAATAAAATATAACATTTTTTTTCCAAGAGGAGGACCAGTGTGCTCTCTCGAGCCTCTCAGTGGACAAGCCTGACTAGGAGCTGCGCTCAATCTTTACTCGCTGGGGATCCTTACCCTCCTCCTCCTGCAGAAAGGGCCCCACTTCCTGCATGCACTACAGCTTGCAAATGACAGGAAAACATCCACCGGGAAAGTCTGATTTCCTCTCAGCCTGTCTCTAACATCCACCCCCAGCAGAGCCCACAGTTTTTGAGGCTTGATAACATCTGAACTACGGAAGTGATATATTTAACCTGTGAGATTCCTTTGGGGAGTTCTCTTTTTACAGTTCCTGGCTTCGAGTTTTTATCCCTCACCCTTTTTCCCCCAAAGACACAAGCTTTTTTTTTTTTTTTCTCTATAAACCGATTTTTTACAGCGGCTGAAGGGAGTATCTGCTTTCTGTTTCATCCTGAAACGCACAGCTTGGGCACCGGGGTATCAGAAGCACACACGCTCACAATGAGCACAGAACGTCCAACCCCTGACCCAGAAGCTCGGTTGAGCTGACAAGTAGCTGGCAGAACCCAGGAAGCTGAAGATGTGCCTGGAGGGGTGTGGGTTACTCTCCGCACAATCAACAGCAGCATCCTCTCTCTGTGCTTTTGGGCCCCAATTCAATGTCTCCAAGTCTCCACTTCAAGACACTATGGAAGGAGCTCTATAATTCTGCCTTTTAAAACCAGTAGCAAGCCGAGGGTGGTCGCGTATGCCTATACTTCCGGTATTCGGGAGGCTAAGGCAAGAAGATCCAAAGTTTAAGTCCAGCCTGGGTAATTTAGCAGGACCCTGCCTCAAAACAATAAATAAAACAACAGCTGAGGATGTAGCTCAGTGTAAAGACCCTGGGTTCAAGCACCGGTATACACACACACACACACACACACACACTCACTCACACACGGGCAAATAATGTCAAGAATGAACAGAGAAAAATATTTGACCAAACACATGTTTATTTTGTGACTTTTTAAGCTAACTTTATCTTTTTCTTTCTTTCTATATATATATACACATATATATACACACACACATACACTTTTAAAAACTGTTTATAGCTAAGCCCAGAGTTCTGTTCCACTTTCACACATAAAGCAACGTTTTCCAGAACACAAAGACTACCAGAGAGTGAGCAGTCTCCTCGGAGACTGGGCACTCAACAAAGTGCTGTTGACACCGTCACCAGGACGTGCCCTTTCCTCCTGATATATACACATATATATACACACACACATACACTTTTAAAAACTGTTTATAGCTAAGCCCAGAGTTCTGTTCCACTTTCACACATAAAGCAACGTTTTCCAGAACACAAAGACTACCAGAGAGTGAGCAGTCTCCTCGGAGACTGGGCACTCAACAAAGTGCTGTTGACACCGTCACCAGGACGTGCCCTTTCCTCCTGAGTGCCACACTGACCTGGATAAGCAGGTGTCACCTGCCAGCAGCTGAGCGAACCCAGAAGTCCTCATGCCACCTCCGGAGTCTCATTTCTTATTGGTCAAACCACAGCTTTTCTTTTCCCTACTGGGTTACAGTCCATGTTTTCCAGGAAGCACACAGTGCAGTTACTTAGTGGGAAATATATAACGAAAATTACTGCCATCTAGGCTGTGGACTGGAATTACATACTGGGACTTGCTGAAGGGGGAAAAAAAAACTGTACCTTGCCTCATCCTTTTTGTCCATTTTGAAAGATTCTAAAAATTCAGACCTAAAAACAAAAAATCACTTTTATTTTCTTAGACATATCTGTATTATCTATAAATCAGAAATGTGCTGTGACCCAGGAGATACCTTATCTGTACCAAATAATGGTAAGATGAAACTATGACTTGCACAACCATAATTTATCAATTTAAAATTAAAAGTTAAAGTTTTTTAAAATTAGACTAAAAAACTCAATAAATATATCTTGAAATAACTGAATGTCAAAGAGGAGCTCTCTGAAGAAAACACACTGAACTAAATGAAAATAAAAAGACATCAAAATTTGAGGAGGCAGCAGGGACCATTTCATTAGAGAAACTTAGTATTAGAAATAACTTTTATTACATATTTTCTATAACTTTAAGTACTACATATGAGTATCTGTTAAGTGGCAGATTCTCAACTCTTATTCCTAGAGGTGTATTCCAAGGGTGGTGTTCTGTAACAGAATGCTTTATATTTGATTCACAAAAATGTGGTTGCTTCAGAAGAGTGTATTAAAAAACCTTTAAAGTAGTTCTAGGCTATGCTTGGGGCAGTCAACATATACATTTGGCTACAAAACAGTTATTTTTGCACAGTACAAGTTTTTTTGTTTTGTTTTGCTTTTTATCCTAATACCAGGACGAAGTGATTGGATGCCCTAAGTACCCAGTTCACCACACCCCACAAACACTCGGACTTCCTCCTTGCCAGCCAGAACCATTAGAGATATTCACCTTCCCAGTCTCCCTTGGCTGGTGGGCAAGTGACTAGATCTTGGATAGCAGAACTGGAGGGGAGGTCTATTGAGAGGACTGTGTGAGAGTTTCCCTTCTGCTACAAAAAGACACTCTAAGGAATGTGTCTTTTCTTCAACTAGACACTCATCTTCCTGTAAGTCTTGAAATGCAGCAGCTCTCTTGCAACCCAGCAGGGTCAGGTTCAAAAAGCAGCTGTGTGTAGAGGGCAGAACCCAGGAGCAGGAGGAGACAGGCTGCTTCCCAAGACTGCAGAACTGGTCTTACGCTGCAACCTTTCTCCCTAAATCGTTAGGAAGATAATATATGCAAGTATTTAAGGCCCTCATAGGGTTCTGTAATATGTGGCCTAATTGATTACTCTGGTAATAGAAGAAAATCTTAACTATATGACTCCTATGATAAAAAAAGAGATGGCTCTGAATAGCTAAAAGAGGAAGAGAAATACAGCATTGATAATACTAATGCTAAAATTTTGTGAGATTTAACCAGTGAAGAGAATGAAGCCTTTTGATCAGCTAGATGAAAGAAAACAGCTACCGTAATAATATATACCATTAACAGACAGCTTTCCTTCCCAAGTTAACTGAAATAATGCATTATATACGTGATCTCACATAGCCCTAACAATAGTCTTTTCAAATAAGAAGTAGAGCTGAGCACAGTGGCACATGCCTGCAAACACAACTACTTGGAAGGCTGGGGCAGGAGGATCCAGAGTTTGAGGTTAGCCCCTGGCAACAGCCTGTCTCAAAAAAGGGGGGGGCTGGTGAAAATGTTGTTACCATTATCTACACTTTATAGCTCTGAAAATGCAAACCTAGATGACATGGAAACGAGTAAAATGATAGAGCAGAACTCAAAACTATTCATGCAGTGGTACTGGCAATTCACCTTTATTTGTTTGTTTGTTTGTTTATCTATTTATTTTGGTACTGGAGATGGAACTCAGGACCTTGTGCTTTCAAAGCAGGCAGTGGCACCACTGAGGTAAATGCAGGGCCCTGGCAATGCACCTGTAAAAGGTATCAGTGAATCCCATGGGAAGGTCAGATCTCTGAGCCTTAGACAAAATGATAGCATTTACTGTAGAAATTCAGACTTCAGTTTAGAATGACAACTATAAGATTCATAGTCTTCTCCCTGCCAAAGAGATGAAAGGACATTCATCCCCTTCACTGACCAGCTGGTAAATATAGTTAAGAAACTCAAATGCATGATTTTACCGGGATGCACTCAATTTAGAATATTTTCTGGCTTTTGATAGAATTACTAAATTTTATGATGTCTAAAAGGCATTTCATATGCTCAAAAATGTACTAATTTGGGATTTGGACTTTATAAAAGTTTGAATTAATATGCATTACAAAACAGTAAACAAAATTGAGGTGTCAAGGAGAAATTCATATTTGTACATAGATATTTTATATCATAAATCGATGTGGGGAAACTCCTTTTCTTCTACGGTTGAAATACTAAACATCCGGCTGGGCACGGTGGTGCGTGCCTGGAATCCGAGCACTTTGGAAGGCTGAGGCTGGAGGCTCAAACGTGGAGGCCCAGCCTACACAATTTAGCAATTCAGCAAGGCTCTGTCTCAAAATGAAGAAGAGAGAAAGAAGAAAGGATTGGAGATGTAGCACAGTGTGAGAACTCTGGGTTCAATACCCAGTGCAGAGAGAGTGAGAAGGGAAAGAGGAGGGAAGGAGGTGAGGGAGTGGGGGGGAGAGGGA